GTATACGGTTGCCTAGTTAAGATAATGTTACCCGATCCTAAAAAAAGAAAAATAGGCTTTAAAACTTCTAATTGTATGTTTTTAGGCTATGCAGAACATAGTATTGTCTATAGGTTTTTTGTCCTTAAAAATGATATAATTGAACATAATACTATAGTGGAGACAAAAAATATTAAGTTTTTTGAACATATTTCTCCTTTAAATGTTAGTGAAACACCTAAATAACCTATAGATATTAATAGTGATGACATGTATGAGGATTTGAGGAGAAACAAAAGACAAAGAAAGGAAATATACTTTGAAGATGCTTTTTACACTTATCTAATTAAAAATGATCCAACAAGTTTTATAGATGCTACTAATACTCCTAATGCAACACATTGGGATAATGTCATTAGTACTAAAATTAAATCAATCAAGAAAAATAATATTTGGACTTTAGCATATTTGCCTAAAGGAGCCAAACACATTGGTTGCAAGTGGATCTTTAAGAAAAAATATCATCCCAATGAATCCATCGATTAATATAAGACAATATTAGTAGTAAAGGGTCTTAGTCCAAAACTTAACATTGATTCGTTTGATACTTTTGTCCCTGTGACTAGGATTTTCTCAATTCAAGTTTTGTTAGGTCTAACAGCTATCCATAAGTTAAGTTATATACCAAATGGATGTTAAAACAATTTTTTTAAATGGTTAATTAGATGAGAAGATTTATATGGCTCAACCTGAAGGGTGTATTATGTCTTGTCAAGAGAATAAAAATACAAATTTTTAAAATCTTTGTATGGATTAAAACAAACACCAAAACAATGGCATTGAAACTTGATAATGTTCTACTTTATGATGATTTTTCAACTAATAATGCTGATAAATATGTGTACTCTAAATTTAAAAGTTGTGAATGTGTCATTATATGTTTAGATGTAGATAACATGTTATATTTTACACATCCATTGATATAGTCTTTAGAAATAAATTATTTCTGGGATCTAAATTTGAAATGAAAGACATAGGTGAAACCAATGTGATTTTAGGAGTTAGAATCATAAGGAAGAGAGATAGTATTTTACTATCCCAAGAATAATATACATTGAGAAACTTCTTAAAAAGTTTGGATATTATGGCTTCAAACTAGTGAGTACCCCTTATGACACTACTCTAAATTAAAGAAAAATAGAGGAGACACTATTTCTTAACCTCATTATGCCCAGATAATTTAAAATTTATTTTCTTTAATATGAGGTTTTTTGTTATAAAAGGAGTATAGTATTTATCTTCTAAATCATCCCAAATTTATTTCTTCTTTTTTAACTAGTACATGACATAATAATTAAATTTTCTTATTTTTTTAACGTATCGTAATTTCTTTCAATAATAAAATTCTATTATTATATGTTATTGATTTTATTTTTCTTTTTTATTTTTTATTTTAGTCCTGAATACTTATTCAGTTATTATAATTTCTAACAAAAACTTGATCTGAAATATTTTTTGTGTTGTTAGTTTTGTTTTAATAGTAATTCCTTATGACTTTTATTGAAAGAACTCTAGTTATCTTGAAGAATAGTATTATAAACTTGTTCCTTCTTTTCTCAAAAGTTGTTGAACATGTAAATCAAGAGGGAAAACACTCGCATATAGAAAGCCAACCAACGTGCTAATGTATGGACATAAATCTAAAGTTCTTATGATATTTGCCAACTTTGTGTTTGGGTGAACCGGATATGTGTAGTGTGTATATCCTAAGGTTGTAGGGTTGGCATACGTAAGTTCCCAAGGAATTTGGACAATAAGTGTACTTTTTTGTTTTAAAAATCTTGACCCATAAATATAAATGAACAACTGGTAGTATTAATTAAGAACATAAGGATAATGTTTAAAACCTAAAATTGAGAATGCCATAGCAATTATTGCAATCCTCCAGCATGTCAATGCGGTGTGATAAATGACAGGGTGACTAATGGAATAGTTAGTAATGTGTGCACAAAATTAGGGATTAGAAATATGTTACGGTCGTATTTTCCCAACCACTCTCCGGACATGGACAACAAATGTGCCACTGAAGCAATGTTTGTAAGCATGGTTTTATGGAAAGACATAAATAAATAAATAAAATTTGAGAAATAATGATGACGACCATTGTGATAAGAATTGAAATGTATCACCGCCCACCTAATTCCGCTACAGATATATGGTTTAGTCCAATTCTCGTATTTCAAATAGTATTTGTCATATGAATTTGGAGGAGACGATGTTGTGGCTGAGAATGCACCACGTGTTGAACGATTGGACTCTACAAATCTTCTCTTATTGGTTGTGTAAGGTGAGAATGACTCTTTTAAGTGGACGGTGGCTGCTTTGAAATTTTTAAGTAACAAAAACAATTTCAATTTCATTAACTTATCTTTGCGTTTCTGCGGCAGTTTCTGGCCATGTCATGGGTTTTTGTGTGGTTCTCATTCTGACTCGGAATACCACGTTTTTTTATCCTTCATCCGTCACCATCCAATGATTCCCGTCTTTTAACACAATTTTACAACCATGTTCCCATCTCAAATTCATTTTAACCCTCATGTTATGATTTAATGTTTTGTATCAACGATGTCATGATTGTGTTGACAATGTTTGTCCGAGTTAAAAAAGGAAGAATTTTTTTTAAGTAGTTAACATTTCATTTAGTAAGGAAAATGCTGTCATCTTGCATTAATTATAATAATATTATCTAATTTAAAATTTTAATCATATTAAACTTTTAAATTATATGAGATTAATAAATATATTAAAAAAATTTAAAAAAAGACAAAAAGTATGACTAACATCAATATTTTGATATATAAACAAACGTTTTCACTTCATACATAACATTGTTAAGATAGATTATAATTTTTTTTAAATTATCTTAAATTAAGAAAAATTATATAAATAAGTTATAATTGACTTTTACTTTAAATGTTGTGAAACTTGTAGAACAACTGTCATGTGTTTTACTAGTAGATAAAAAAATACAAGAAAAATGAGGGAAGGAGAACAAAAGCAAGAGAAGTAGATAAGTCAATGGAAAAACTAACGATTCTAATTCATTAATGAGTATTTCTTTCTTCGATAGTTCCTACAAACAGGAGAAATAGAAATTGTTCTCGTCCATATATATACATGTTTTATGCGTGACTTTTAGAAACTTGATTTGTGCTACGGGTTATAAAATTAATTAGGTTACCTTATAAATATAATGGATTCGTTCCTGGATAGAAAACAAAATAACAAGATATATAATATTTTCTTTTCAAAACTAATACTATTAAAATATTAATTATTTTTTATTTATTTGTAATTATATAAAGTATTTTATTTTAAAAATTGGTTATAATAGTAATTTTTCCAAAATTTATGTAAGTTAATTATAATATTGTCTGAAATATCACCTTTGAAAGAAAAAATGTTTTCTTTTTTAATTAATCTATTTGAGAGAAGGGGAAAAGAAAAATAAAATGGCCGTAGTGTATTGAGTATTGAAGAGATTTTAAAATTTAATTATTTTATAAAAGTGTTTAACAATGTTATCATAAATTAAATTGAAACAAGGATTCGTTATTTAAGCTATTAGTCTAGAGATAATTTAAAAAATGTTATATAATATTAATGCATTAGTAACTTAAAACTTAGTTTGTATTTATCTATTTATGTATATTTAATCTTATCCTTTGGTTCCTTTACCTCTAACTGGTTATTGAGTTATTCTTAATAACTTTTGTATGAAAAATTAGTACCATCAAGTGTATAATTTTTTCATCTATATATAGTACAAAAGTTCAATCTTTTAAAGCATAAAAAAAGTATTTTAATGTATACGACCTGATGCCCAACCTCTTTTCAAAAACATTTTACAACAATTTGTGAATTAACTGAATAACACAGCAATGAAATCAAAGGAAACTTGAAATATTCTTTGTTTTATTCTTTTTGTTGGATTATGAAAGAAGATGCATAAATGTAAATTATTAGAGCAAGAACCCTAAGACCCAGATTAAATATTAACAGTCACGATTATTTAAACTTTTCATAGCCAATTAGTAGCCTCATAATTGTGAGGATTTGATTATAGGTGTGTCCAGATAAGTTCATCTGGCAAACCTTCGTCACTCAACAAATGTGACAACTCCTTTTCTCCTTATTTTAATCACAACATCAATTGCATAATATTCACAATAATTAGTGATTGATACCTTTCTTTTTTTATAAGATATCTTAACCTATTGCTATTTTTTATGCAAATATTTATTGGCCACGAACTTGGAGTGCTGGAAAGTTCTACAAGGGTATGTATGTAGTCAAATTTTTAGAAATCGCAAAGTTTTCAGGCATATTAAGGATTACTTCACATCCTTCTGGGAAATCAAATAAATAATGCAAAAATTCAAATTTTCTATGTGCCACGAGATTTATATTAAATTCTTTATGTGATTAAGCTCTATAGGTTTTATACGTAAGCAAAATGTTTTGCGAATAAATACAAAAATTACGCGGTCAAGTTTTATCTGGCTGTCTATTTAAATTTCATGTTTATTTTATATTATTTTAGAAGTGGAAATTTAATTTATATTGTTAAGTTTAATTAATGTTTGTTTAAGACAATTTATTATTACTATTAGTAATATTTCTACTAAGGAAAGTATAAATAAGTAGGTGGTATTTACATACTTAGCCGCATGTAACCGTTGGATTAAAGAACGTTAGAGAGAAAGAAAGAAGAATGGACAGAAAAGTGGGACCGTGCAAGCGAAATGAAGGTAATTGGGCGGCAAAAGAAAACGCTAATCATGTCATCGTTGCCACATAGTCACATAAATACAAAACCTTGCAATTAATTATTAATTCCACTCGTTACAACACTCTTCCTTAAATACCTACCATCTTTCTTCTTCCAACCCTCACTCATATCTCCACTACCTTCTCTTCTCTTCTCTTCTCTTCCACCATCCTCTTGCAACGTTCTAGCCATGGCCAAAGACGTTGAGCAGGTCACAGAGCAAGGCGAATACTCCGCCAAGGACTACCACGATCCACCTCCGGCGCCGCTCATCGACCCCGATGAGCTCACCAAGTGGTCCTTGTACAGAGCCGCCATAGCCGAATTCATAGCCACCCTCCTCTTCCTTTACATCACCGTCTTGACCATCATTGGCTACAAGAGACAGAGCGACACCACTATTCCCGGTAACACCGAGTGTGACGGCGTTGGCATTTTGGGCATCGCTTGGGCCTTCGGTGGCATGATCTTCGTCCTCGTTTACTGCACCGCCGGCATCTCCGGTACACAAATTAAACTTTCATCATCTCACACCCATCAAGTTAATATTTTTAGTGGTCTAATGATGACTGACATAAAATGTAGTGAACATTAGGTAAAAAATTATATGTTTGTGAATTGGTGTAACAGGAGGACACATCAACCCTGCGGTGACATTCGGGTTGTTCCTGGGGCGCAAGGTGTCGTTGGTGAGGGCGTTGTTGTACATGGTAGCACAGTGCGCCGGTGCAATCTCCGGTGCTGGGTTGGCGAAGGGGTTCCAGAAGGCCTACTACAACAGGTACGGTGGAGGAGCTAACACTGTGAGCGATGGCTACAACAAAGGTACTGCCTTGGGTGCTGAAATCATTGGTACCTTTGTTCTTGTCTACACTGTTTTCTCCGCCACTGATCCTAAGAGAAGCGCTAGGGACTCTCATGTTCCCGTAAGCAAACCATCCCTTACCTTTTTTATCCTTAAATTTATGTTCTTTTCTTATTTTACTTACTTCACTTTGAAATTTTTAAAATTAAAAAATAAAGGTTCTAGCACCCCTTCCCATTGGGTTTGCCGTCTTCATGGTTCACTTGGCAACAATCCCTATCACTGGAACCGGCATTAACCCGGCAAGGAGTTTCGGACCAGCTGTGATCTTCAACCATGACAAAGCCTGGGACGACCAAGTAAGTTAAATTTAAGGTTTTTTTTTTTACACATTAAAAAAAAAAACAAAATTTGAATGACTTGATTATTAATTTTCAGTGGATTTACTGGGTTGGACCGTTTGTGGGAGCTGCGGTGGCTGCATTCTACCACCAATACATTCTTAGAGCTGCAGCAATAAAGGCTCTTGGATCCTTCAGGAGCAACGCTTAAGCTTATCCTCTTAAATTATGATTTGTCCTGTGTCACCCAAAACAATAACAGTGTTTCAGTTCAAGTCTGTCTACAGGTCCCTCACTTGGAGTTCCTTTTGGCTTTTTCCCATACCCGATGGTTTTGGGAAACCAGATACCGTGGGCTCTTGAATTTGTAGATAAGAATGCTTTTATTATCATTATGTCAAGGGTGTATTTTTATCCCTCTTGTTTTTATTTTCTTTTTCTTTTCTTCCAACTACTCCTCGTGTATTCTCTTCTACTTTATGATGTGCTGCTTCATTACCCAATTTTTCTTTTTCCCTGTTCATTCCTAAGTGCTGTATTTTCATGAAATTTATCACTCTGTTTCGAATAAGTTTTCAATTATCACCAACCTTGACTTTAGTAATCAAGTTTTCCGCTCTTAATTATTGCTGATTCTTTCACGCACCTAAGCATGAACCAAGTACAGTTTGAATTGAATCATACTATGCAGCATTAATTTCCTTTGGAATGCACTAGAAGCCGCTCGTTCTGATTAATTTAATCCAAAAGTGTTTGGTAAAGTTTTGTTATCAGAATTTCAATCATAACATAAACTAATCCATACTTAATTGCTAAACTTTGTTTCTGTTTTGTCCCATCTTTTAGAATTAGCTTGCGTGTTATATCCTTCATGATAGCCTCTGGGACTTGAGAACGAATAAGAACAAAACTGAGTGGTCCTTCCATTGGCCTAAATTTGTTGTGCTTTCACAATCAGTAAATAAGTTACTACAAGTTTCTTGAACCTTCCTATTAATCCATCTGTTCTCGTCAACAGACATGACTCTCTCTCTCTCTCTCTCTTTACTACAGCTTCCTCAACTGTTGACTCCACTATTCTCTAAAAAAAATTGGTTTTACAAACGTATCTTTTAAGACATTTTAAAGAATCAATGTTTGTAGAGTCCATATTAAAATATTATCTTCACTGATAAAAAACTAATTTCCACTATAGATGCTTATCCTAATGTTTAAATTTAAACTGTTAACAGCGTCAATATTAAATTATAATTCAAGTATCGCACACCATATAAAGCCGTTGATTTTTTATTTTTTATTTTTTTCCCTGAAAAAAAAACATTGTAGTTGTTATGGACAGAATAATATAGTAGTAGTCAGAAGGAAAATATATAGAAAAGAAATAAATAATAAGTAATAAACACGTTAGGTTGATCATTCAGGATTCCTTTGTGATTGTCCCTGTCTCTGTTCATAAAATAATAGATTGTGAGCTAAGGAACTTTATCTTCACCCTATACAATGTCTCTGGTACTGTATGACTATTTTCTATGCATATGATTACCATGATTTAGTCATTGAAATATCAAATGCATTTATATAATAACTTTTAAATATTGTTTTTTTTTCATATTTATGCATAATTTGTCTAAGATGTTTTAGTTACAGTGAGTGGGATGGTACAGAGGAGAGACAGATAGATAAGGAGCAGTGATTGTGACAACAATAGTAGCCATAATTAATTTGTTGATGTTTTGAGTATTTATGAAATTTGAGATGATCCCATAATTGGTTCTCTTCGTGGATCTCACGTTTTCAATTTTGTTTTGTTTTTCTCTCGCCTTTCGAGGTAGCGGATAGAGTTTGTACATAGTATTGTCTCTCTGTTTTTAGTTTTAAATAGGGACAGTTTAAAAAAAAAGGGACAGGTGAATTTAATTAGAGTAGTATGGAATTGTTATATTATTTTTTTTAATGTGAGTTGAATTTAAATTTGAATTAAATTTTATGTTGAATAAAAATAAAAAAATTAATAATTTATAAATATCATATTATTTTTGTATTTTATTATCAAGAAACAAAAAAGAAGTCATTGTTAGTGTTATCAACGACTATACTTATTTCATTGTTTCTCTTTTCATGTCACATTCGTTTAATATATAAAATAATAATATCTAATTTTAAACCATCAACTTATCCATTAAACAGTACGGTCATATACCTAAGTGATGTTTTTTTTTTTTTTATCAAATTAATAACTTAGATAAGATTTAATAAGTTACAAGTTCAAACCTGATCAACTGGCAGTACCTTTGTTAATATTTTAATAATACATTTGATTATCCAATTCAAATAAACTGAACAGTAATCATATTAATTTAATTTTATAAACCCAATTAACATAACCCTAAAGGTTTTTTTTTTTTTTTAATTCGTAGTGAAAAATGTCTATTGAAACAATCAGTAGTGAAACATATGGGCTCTGAATTCATGAACTTTAGGCCCATGACAAGTTTAGTGGCCTGTCAGTAACTAATAGAATAAAAAACCTTTCACATATGTTATACTCAACTTGTTCCCAGAAGAATAACATCGTATGATTATTGAATAAAAAAAAAACTCCAACATACTTTTTCTAACAAAACCTCTTACTATATAATTAATTAATATTAATACCATCATCCAATTTAGATTGTTATATAACTAAAATATGTTTTTGCTATAAATATTTAAACAGTTAAAATCCAAAGCAATTCCATTTTGTTTGATAACATAGAACTTTTAAATATATCATAAACTCATTATATGATTATTTGGAAAAATAAAAGTTGGGGTAGGCATAGACTTAACGTTCAAGCTTAAATTTCATATACAATGTTAGTGTTAGATATTAACCATAATATCAACAATATCTTCTGTTTATTATGTTACTTTCAGTTAATCTTTTAGTTGTATCTCTCTATTATAAATAGACTACCCTATGTGTGATTTATACACAAGAGAGATTAATCTCAAACTCTATTTCTTCTATATTCAACATGAGTGTTATGCATTACATGAGTGTGAACATTGTGACAAACTAGGTAACAAGATTGACAAGTGTTATGCATTACATGGTTGTCCTACTCGATCTGCTGCAGTTGCTCAGACTGATCTTTTCCCACCTTAATCTGCTAAGGATCCTTCGGATGTGACACCTGAGTCTGACCTTCCCATTGCCTTCCGAAAAGGTATCTGTTCTACACGTAATCCCTCTCCCCATTATATTGGTTTGAGTTATTATCGACTGTCATTACCTTTTTATACATGTCTTTCCTCTCTTTCTTCTGTGACCATTCCAAAAACTGTCCGTGAAGCTTTAGTCCATCCTGGTTGGCGTCAGGCTATGTTAGATGAACTAAGTGCTCTTCATAATAGTGGAACTTGAGAATTGGTCTCGTTACCGTCTGAGAAATTTGTTGTTGGTTGCAGGTGGGTGTTTGCTATCAAAGTTGGACCTGATGGTACTATTGATCGCCTCAAAGCTTGTCTTGTGGCCAAAGGTTATACTCAAATTTTTGGGTTGGATTATGGAGATACCTTTTCCCCTGTGGCAAAGATGATTTCTGTTCGTTTATTTATCGCCATGACCGCTCTTCAATAATGGTCTCTTTATCAACTAGATGTTAAAAATGCTTTCCTCAATGGTGATTTGCAAGAAGAAATCTATATGGAGCAACCTCCTGAGTTTGTTGCTCAGGGGGAGTCTTCTGGGATGATATGTCATCTTCGCAAATCCCTATATGGCCTAAAACAGTCTCCTAGGGCCTGGTTTGGAAAGTTTAACAAGATTGTTCAACAATTTGGTATGACTCGGTGTGAAGCAGATCACTTTGTCTTTTATCGACACTTAAGTGCTGGATGTGTTTACTTGATAGTATATGTTGATGACATCGTTTTTACAGGTAGTGACAACCATGACATCTCTCAGTTGAAACAACATCTCTATCACCATTTTCAAACCAAAGATCTTGGCAAACTTAGATATTTCTTGGGTATTGAGGTGACATAGTCCAATGATGGTATTGTTATATCTCAGAGGAAGTATGTTATGGATATTTTGGAGGAAACTGGGTTGATGAATTCAAAGTCTGTTGCTACGCCCATGGATCCCAATACTAAACTTTTACCAAATCAGGAGGAGCTTATACCTGATCCTGAGCAGTATAGAAGATTAGTTAGAAAATTGAATTATCTTACAGTTACTCGTCCTGACATTTCCTTTGCAGTTAGTGTGGTAAGCCAATTTCTTAATTCCCCATGTGAAGATCATTGGAATGCAGTCATTCGTATCTTAAAGTATATTAAATGGTCTCATGGAAAAGTAAGAAACAAAGTGTTGTGCAAAATCTAGTGCAGAAGCAGAATATAGAGCTATGACCTCAGCTGCTTGTGAACTTGTTTGGCTTAAGCAATTGCTTAGAGAGTTACAATTTAGATATGTCACTCAAATGTCACTTGTGTGTGAGAATCAAACTGCTCTTCATATTAGTTCTAATCCTGTCTTTCATGAGAGGACCAAACACATTGAGATTGACTGTCATTTCATTCGAGAAAAGATTATGTCTTGAGATATCAAGACTGAGTTTGTTAACTCAAGTGATCAGTTAGCAGATATTTTTAAAATCTTTACGGGATCCTAGAATTGATTATATTTGTAACAAGCTTGACATGTACGATTTGTATGCTCCAGCTTGAGGGGAGTATTAGATATTGTTTAGATATTATTTAATATTATTAAGATATTGTTAGATATTAACCATAATATCAAACAATATCTTCTGTTTATTCTGCTACTTTCGGTTACTCTTTTAGTTGTATCTCTTTACTATAAATAGACTACCCTATGTGTGATTTATACACAAGGGAGATTAATCACAAACTCTATTTCTTCTATATTCAACCGTTAGAATCAAGTTTTTTTTCTTAAATGTTTTTTTTTTCGTTTAATTTTTGACATATTCTTCCTCTATTCCTATATTTATTTGAAAAGATAATAATAAATTTTTTAGTTTTATTGAATAAGTGATTCAGAGAATTTCGAATTAAAAAATATAAAAAATTATGGGAATGGACGTAGAAATATGTAATCTTTTAAATTTTTGTATTATAAAATTCAAAATATAATTACCATCATTTTTAATTGTTTAAGAAATTAAAAAATAATAATATAGTTTTTTCGCCATCATTATGAATTTGCATGATACGGTGGAAGATGCAAAGAAATTGGACAGATAAGCAACATGTAAAACTAGGTGTAAAAATTTAATGTTATTATAAAAGAACCAAACAATTTATGAGCCAGTGAGTTCAGTTTTGTGAAATAAAAGACACTGGAATTTGGTTAACGAGGCATCATATTGACATGCATGGTGGAAGAGTGGGGTCTGAGAGTGGGAAAACAACAGATTTGATTAATATTCAGCTCTTGCATGCGCTTTGTGTTGTGCCTCCGCAATTATTTGCCAAACAGGGCCTTTGCTGCACCTCTAAGCTAAGCCAACCCCATGCTTCAATTACTACTCCTTTTCCACGTAGCGACTAAGCAAAGCATAAATCTTGACGAAGATGAGTTTGAAACTATCTATGCTACACGCAGTGGAGAGGTTCTGTTTCAATGTTGAAAGTCCCACATCGCCTACCTCATATCATTTGGTATGGTTTAAATACATGTTAGACTACTCCACATATTGCCAATTGGTTTTATGTTGGAACCTTAACATGGTATCAGAGTCAAAGCCTAACATCTTTTCGGTTATTGTCATGGGCCAAAAGTTGCCCTTTAGTTGGATCAAAAGTACCCTTTGACTGGTCCGGCAGGCTTCGTTAGAGGGGGTGTGTTGAAAGTCCCACATCGCCTAACTCATATCATTTGGTATGGTTTAAATACATGTTAGGCTACTCCACGTATTGCCACTTGGTTTTATGTTGGAAGCTTAACATTCAAGCAAATGGTTACTGTTTTAAATGCAAACAGGATGGTTAATTAATTGCTCTATGATTTATTCTTTAGTTACGAAAAACTCAAACTGTAATGCACTTGATCAAGGTACTCATATACATTTACACTCTCAAACTGTTTCAGTGAATACATTCACAACCATTTTGATGCGATCAAGACATGGATAATTGGATTACCAACTCAATGAATCAAAGAAATGTTAATATGTTGAGTGGCAATAGGGATGACATAGGTGTGAAGACTAGTTGTTAATTGGAATCTGAAAGTGGATGGAGTTGGTACATCATAATTGGGTTTCTCTCCTTTTGTCAAGAATCAAATACTCATCTTTTCTCAAGAAAATATCAAATATGAAAGACACAATTTATTAGTACCTAACAGCTGCATGAACGTAGTTAAATTTTAATTGGCTCAGTTTGGGAATTACAAAAAGTTGAAGGTTGGGGTCTGCTTAAAGCAAACCTCATAATTATGTTTCCCATTCATTAGCCTCCTTTTCCCAACACAAAAATTCAGGTCCAAGGACCAACCACTTCTGTCAGAACCATATAGCCTTATAAAAGCCAGTTCAACCCACCCACAAATTTCCATTCTTTCCAAGTGATTTTCACAAAGTCAAGGAGAAAAAACAAAAACATGAGTGTCGTTGATCTGTCTCTCCTCTCCCTCCTTTCTCTAGCCCTTGTCTCAATTGTCATAGCTCAAGAAAGAGCCGCTCATGGGCTTGTCTACCAGAATCCTGAGGCATTTTCACCATCAGCATATAACTTCTTTCATCCCAATGAAAAAAAGCCTGATACCAAAGAACCTTGTGCAGCATCAAAATGTTCACCAATGCCTTTAGCAGCACAGGTGGAAGCCACTGAAATTCATGAAAGCAAAGCCTCAACACCCGAAGGAGGTAGGAAACAATTAGGAGCTGGTGGCATAGCTGGCATTATCTTTGGTGTTGCTTTTGTTGTGCTTTTAGCCATGGGGGTCTACCATGTGAGCCTCACTCGCCCAACCAACATGAATAGAGCCAAAGCCAATGCTGCTGTTCAACAAGATGCTTGATCTACTTTGTCTCTATAATAATTACTTCAAAATCTCACCCTAGATTTAGGACGGGGCATGTAATGTAATACCTACCCTCAACTTTATTTAATTCCCTTAATATCTTACCACTAGACTAGTAGTTTATTTACTTCATCTTCTTCCATCTGTTTTTTGGTTAGCCATTGTGAATTCGATATAGTGATCAGTTTCATATTGGATCTTGTGTAATAGTTATCATGGTCAAATATTTCCATTTTCTTTCTACCTTCTTAGATTATGAAGTCAAACTGTTTCTTTTTTCTTTATACCTTCGCTGTTTTCAAGACTTTTCTAACTAAAGTTTGTAAGAACCTCTTACGGAGTATAATTCTCCTTAAATTTTTCTAATGGAAATGTTTGATTTGAAAGAGTTACTATGAACAAAAATCACTAATGATGATTTTTTGTTTTACTGAAGATAGAAAAAGAGACAAGTTTTGAAGACAAATGATTTGTATCCTCGTTATTATCTCATAATATTATATCAAATTATTTGTGATTCTGATTAAATGGGTTTAGGAAACAAATCCAATTCAATTTCAAATACCTGAACATTTTTCTTTCTTTCTCAATTCTTACTCTCATTTACACTCTAATATTATTTTTTATTGTAATTTTTCCTTTTTTTAATTATTTATTTATTTACGGTTTGATCTATCAATCTATAAAAAAAAAAAAATACTAGCTGAGATGGCATTCCAAATTAAAAAAAAAAAAGGCTTACACATGGTCACAGTTAAGATGGAGCTCTAAAAATGGACCTACCTTGGAGCAAAGGTGGTGCAAATAGTAGGCTACAGGTTTTTTTTTATCATGTGAAATGCTGAATGTCCCCAACCCAGGTGTTGGTATAATATTTCTAATGGACTTAATTAATAGGACTATTCTGGGCTTAAGCCCAGAAACTTACAATTGAATTTTAGTTGGATGTTTCTTCCTGCTTCCTCGTAATTAAAATAAATCTTATTTTATCTTTTTTATATTTCTCAAATTTATTTTCGGATTGTATATTTCAAAATGAATTTTCAAAACATTAAATATAAAAATATATTTCAAAACATATAATACAGAATGTATTTTTGAATTGAGTATTCCAGAATTTACTTTCAGCTTTAAAAATATTTTTCAGATTAAACAATTTAAATATTTATATTCACTTTGAGTCCAGTTTCTTACAATTTAATAGATACAAAATTTTAATAATTTCTTACCTTAAGGATTAAAAACAATCTTTAATGAAAGTAGAATTACAATAACATAAAATTATAGAAACTATAGAAATATAAGAACAAGAGAGAAAAAAATTTAGGATTTCAAATAAAAACTAGTGAAAATATATTTTGGAGATTTTATATGAGTTTTAGGTGTATAGGAAAAAAACTATGGAGAAAGAAGAAGGAATAACCTTTTTGTTTTTTTATTCTTAATTTTGTATTTTGCACTTGAACCACACTTAAAATGGACGATGGAAAGTATTCAAAATTGAAATTGAAATTTATAAGTATTTTTAACATTTAAAATAATAAAATTTTAACAGAATTTTATGATTCAGTCACTTGTTATTTGCGTAAGACAGTAATTAAATACTACAGTAAAAATATTTTACTGTGTTAAATGTAAGTGAAATAGGTTGAGATGTTCCATAAAAGCTGGTAAATGTCATAAATTTAGAAAAGAAAAGAGAATAGAATAATGTTTTTGACCATTAAAGGCAAAAGTATTTTTGAGCATGTGACTTCTCTGCTAATGGCCAATCGACCACTGCAGCCCCTTCTTCTCATGTGATCTTTCTCTTCTGCTGCTCAACATTTTCACTCACGGTCCCCACAAACACCTTCAGTCACCATCATGTAATAGACCACTCCACTCAATCCAAAAGTCCCACGGTCCTTTCGTTTTAGGATCAAGGATGTTCCTCTCCATCTTCTGTCCCCATCCTTTCAACTCAACCACTTCTCTTACCCTTTACACTCACATATCGTTTTAATACACCATGCACTCCTTTTCCCATCTTATTGGACTCCTTCATTCTCAACTCAATAACCAAAATCAGTGAAACACCTTTATATTCTTATTTCTTCCTACAACACCTTTATATTCTTCCACTTGGACTAAGATAACCATGGATTTCACTTCAGGCATGGTTGGTTATTCTATTGGACATGACTATTATAGTGTAAATCTTTACAATGATATTATTTTTATGCTGTCAATCAATCATGATGTATATGATCTTGAAGGGAGCTATTTTAGGAGAGAAAATAAATTTGTTTTAATAATAGAGTCACACCAAAACCACTGTTTTTCTTAAGTTAATATCTATTTTAACTATTAAAGCTACAACCTGAGGTTTACTTATTTTGAGGACACTTCCCAAGGACACGTGAAACAAGATAGAAGAAATTCAAAGTTCTCATTCTCAATTAGTCACGATTCACGATGGATATAATGATTTGGGTGAAACCATATATATGAATGGGATTGTCTGCACCATTTGTAGTGGCTGCTATCTGGGAAGTGGGAACTCTTTTCCTAATTTTCTTCAATGCTAATGCGTAAGCAAAGCAGTCAATGTGGTCTTCTGTGGGAACTATAGATCTTAGACATAAGCATTTTACATTTTGACCATTTCTAATTTTTTTTAGAGGTACTGTAGGAAAAAAAAAAAAAGAGCTATTAGTATTAGGTCTAGAAGAACCTGTGCTGCATTGATGAACAGATTCTCTCCCTGATTGTTTGTCTCCTCTCACTGTTTCTGTTATGCAATGAGTCCTGTAAATGGTGTGACCTTTTCTTTTTCTTGGGATTATATCTCTCAAATCAGTTCTATATCCAACCTGAATTATCATCACAATTTGCCACTTTCTAGTTGTACTGTACTTGCTTTAGCCTCAACTCTTTGTAGAGATCTAAAATTCCACGAGCTTTTCCTGACAAAGATCATGTTTTTGGCCTTTGTAGTTTACCTTCCTGAGAATCACCACTTTATGCTTTTACCATGGTCCACACATACAACATTGTTCTGCTCTCATTGCACTTTGCAGGATGAACAATACTGTTTTGCTGTTACAAAACAAAATAAAAATTCCTGATTTTGCTTTTGTAAAAATGTTTGCACTTTGTTGAATCAGTGAATCTATTTTCAATTCCTTGCAGGTAATTGAGGATGTGCCAGGAAAATAATTCTGAAAACCAGTTTGGTATACAGGTAAATGGGGTTTGGGTATCTGAAAATATTTTCTTGTTTCACAAGTGCTTCGAAAACTCTTGGCTCTTACTCCAGGTTTTGAGATTCCTTGGGAATATTTTGGGATTTGGAACCCCATTTCCCTGCTGTGGAAATTTATGGGCATAACAATGTTCAATAGAAAGCATCAATTCCACCTGTCCATTTGAATGAAGACAACCTGTTCAAAGCGTTTTCCAGCTTTTCTTGTTGCCTTTCTTAGCTGGATAGTATACTTATAGTCAACCAAGACCACTGTTAGGATTTTTGGGAAGCTAATGCTATAGACTATAGTCTTACACTAACCTTCCCTTTTCAATCACTTTCACAATTACTTCTCCTACTTCTTCCACATCTCCTTGGTAAATATGTAACTTACTCTAGAAGCATGCAAAGCGTGAATTCATTTTTTTTCTCAATTTTGACCGCTATATAAATCAATGTGCTATGTCTATAATCTATTCCCCATTATGGCAGTTCATTACACCTCTTGGTATGTTCACTTTTCACTCGTGAACTTTGTCCCCCGTGCTATTTCTGGTTAACTAATCCACTTCCTTTGTCACTTTGGATCTTGGTTTACTGCGTGGTATCTCCATTGTCGTATGCTAGTTTTTCTGTGGAATTTGACTGATACTTATGTTTCACATTTGTTTTCGCCCCTTGAATGTGCATATACTTTACTATGTTTATCGATGAGCTTATTGAGGATGAGAATTTGTTCTTAATATTTGATGACTGTAATTTGAAACTATGTAGGTGTGGTGGGGTAAGAATAATGTCTCAGAGACGCGTTTGATTCCTTCGCTTCTAAAAACAAGAAGCAGAAACTGAAACTGAGAATTCATAAGGACTTCCTTGGGTGATGCATGTTTACAATGCGATTGCTATGGGGGCTAAGGCTTCCCCTACTCATACTGATTCAACTTTTATATCCCAACAGATCAACCTACGAATTATACGGTACGCTTTTTTATATCATATTCTTGAAAAACTTCGCTGTATCAAAAAGTTGTAGGGGACTTCAGAAAAAAAAAAAGATTGAATTTGCCATGAATTTTTTTCTTCATTCCCTAAATTCAAATGCTGCTGGCTTGGTATTTCCATTTGTACGTTATGAATGTACCTTGTCTACATTGACTTAGGTAGAGTACTTTTTTTCTTATTATTATTGTAAAGTGACAGCAACAAAATAAGAACTTAAAATCTTGTACATACGATCCTAATCCTATATGACTAAGCCTAATGGTTAGGTTGAGTGATCATAATTAGACTAATTCAATAACTTTTCATCAATGTTTCCTTTTTCTCATGGAAGTGCATATTGAGCATCATGTCAGATATCATTAGTTTAAGAGAAAATAGAATGTGGGAGAGCCAATTATTTAGCTTAGCTAGTTACAGTTACTGAATTATATATTTGATGACTGCAGCTGAGGCTTTGATCACTTTTCAAGGTTCGCTTGGTGGTCCACAGCAATTAGGATGCAGCATTGTGAAATATCCATGTCAAATGCAATGGCCTTGTCTTGACTGCTATAAACTAAAAGATCCAGGTGCTTTTTTCTCAAATTCTCTGTAAGCTCCTTCTCTCCGTCTCTCTGATTTTTTGAGAGTAGCCATTGATTGTCAAAACTGAGTAAAACATTGAGGTTCAGTCTAGAATTTAATTGATGAAAATATAGGACTAGTTTGTTAACCATGCTTGTTTTTCAATTTTGGTAACTTAAGGTTTGGGATATTAAACCTCCACGTCCTCTTTTGACTAGATATAAAAAATTTCACTTTTCACTTCAAATTTTCCCTGAAAAATTCATCTGAATCATAAGAATTGTAAAAAAGCCTCTCCACTTGAGAAACAGGTGGAGTAACAGCAAAGATAGATGGGAATAATGACATTCCAACACTTACACCTCTTCCAGAAACTAAAGATAGAAAACCAGGTGGAAGAAGGAGTTCTGCCATAATTGGCAGCGTTATAGCTGCCTTAGTTGTCGTTGTAATTGTGGTGACTGTCTATATCTGCTTGATGCGTGTTAAAAGATTTATGAGGCAAACATCTGAGATTGCTTCTTCTATGCCATCTCCCACTGGTTAGTTCATCTGATCTCTTTAATGAGTTGATATAATTAACTACTCAGATTTCTGATTCATTTTGTTACAATTATTATGGCATTATTTTTTAACAGTTGAAATGGGAAGACTCAACACGCAGCATGTTACTGCTTTCTCTCCACAAAGCCCAAGGCAGTTAACAATTTTGGAACTGGAACAAGCTACACGGAATTTCAGTCATAATAATATCATAGGTGAAGGTGGATTTGGTTTTGTATACAAGGGCTTGCTTCAAGATGGTTCTATTGTGGCTATAAAAAGGCGTCTATTTGCTCTCACACAAGATTTCGTCCTTGAGGTAATATGTAATTAAATGTCTCTTCTATTTTGTTCTAATATATGTATGAAAACTAGCATTCTTGGCTCCAATATTGTCATATATGAAGGTTTAGAAAGCCTTTACCAAATATTTTGATTTTTTTCAACAGGTGAAACAGATAGCTCATATTCACCACATCCATCTTGTCAAGCTTATAGGCTATTATGAAGATAGCCATCAACAATTACTAGTATATGAATATCTCCCTAACGGCAATGTAGGGAGTCACCTATATGGTACTCTTCCCCTCTGTGTTTACCTGAGATTTGTTCCACCTTGAATTATATATTTTATGCGTCATGCATGTGGTTATGCAACATGCAGATGGTGAAGGTTTACCTATTGGAAGGCTAGACCTGTGGCGAAGGTTATCTATTGCTTTAGGCGCATCCAAAGGTAAACCAATTTTGGCAATGATGTTTGTTGTCCTTTTTCTTTTGGAATTCAAAACTCTCGATTCAGTCTTACTTTGTAACAGGAGTGGAACATCTTCACAGTTTGGTCCCTCCTTTGATTCACAAAAACTTTCGAACTAGCAACGTTCTGCTTGATGAAAATTATACTGCCAAGGTTTCTGGTTACGGCTTCTGCAAATTGCAAACACAAGTTGATCAGCCAGGCTCGTCTTCAAATGTAGACTGTTTTCTTGACCCAGAGTATGCTACAACTTACTGTTTGATGGAATCTGAACCATTTTGACTTTCCTTGTCGATTTGAATTAAATGGACTTTTTAATTTCCCATGAACAAAGGTTGAGCTTTCCACAAAACTTTTCGGAGAAGAGTGATGTATACAGTTTCGGGGTGTTCTTGCTAGAGTTGATTAGTGGCTGTGAAGCACATAACCAAAACATGTTACACCCAGATGGAAACATAGTACTTCAGGTAATATATATCCATATCTGCTTAATGCTTCAAACTTGATGGATAATTCTTGGGTTTTCCAACTTAAGCTTACTTATCCAACTTTAATTTGAAGGCAAAAAATAGTGTTGACTTGGACAAATTTGTTGACATAACGCTGGGAGACCAAGAAAAGCATGGTGCCAGACGAATATTGATGTTGGCATTGGTATGTGTGGATGTGGCTTTTAGAAGACCATCAATGGCGCAAATTGTGCTAGAGCTGGAGCGGATTCAAAGAGAGATTGCTCCTATGTATTCTCAATTCAACGATGAGATTGGTGCCGTGACTCTTGGGAGTGAGCTCTTCCAGTAATAACCCTTGCCATGTTGAAAGTGTCACTTTAGAAACCATTTTTGTTGTTTCTTTGCACGACTTTTATTGTTATGGTTATTGGCTTATTATTGTTGGTACATTGGTCCTGGAAGGATATTATTCATTTGTAATTACTTCAAAGTAAATAAAATTCTGAAAATAAGTATAATATTCATTTGCGCATAAGATGTTTGTTTTCATATTTATCACACACCATTCCAAAGGTTGTTGTGTGATATATTCGATCACAACGTTACTGTTATTAATATTTTGTCGCATGTATGATAATATTGTCTTTCATTTTATGTTTGTTCTGACTATAAAAGATGCTTTATTCTCTTTTCTTAATTTTAACTACGTTGCCTTTTTAATAAAATAATTACTCTATATGTCTACCATAAAATTTGAAGTTGACCTCCCAACTTCTAGATCTTTTAAAATAATAATTCATTTTAAAAAATAATTTTAGTCATAATTAAATAATTAATTATCCATAGTACATTTACGACTAATTATTGATGAATTGGACTATTAACGATCAATTATCTTGTAAATTAGTAAAATTATTTACCGCACTTTTATTCACTTCCAACCAAGTCAATTCCCAAAGATAAAAAAATAAAATAAAATATGTTATAATTAAACTAAAAATGTCACATATTATTTATTTCTGTTTGATTAAAAAGTGTCAGTCATTGTCTTTGTTAAATAAAAATTGAAATTGAATGTAAATTTAGATACGATTTTGATCCTTCAATTTCATTTAATTCGTAATTTTGACCTGTCTATTTCAAAATAAAAATATTTTATCTTTCTATTTTAGAAAATATGAAATTTTGATAAATTTTTTATTTTGTTTACAGTCATTTATTTTATTTTAATTAATTAAACAATTTGTATTGTGTTTGAAATTAATATTTTAGGTGTAAAATTCAAATAATTAAGCAAAAGAGAAGACAAAAATCATGTTTAATTACGCATAATAATGACATTAATTACTAATAAGTATAGTAAACACCAATTTTTAATATAAAGTAGCATCACTCAATTTGCCGCTACAGCTAAAAATGCGTGAGCGTTATTTTTGGGTAGAGAGAGAATTGATTTCAGTTTCGTTCCAGTCGCAGATGAGTTGAAAGTCAACCAAGTCACACAGCACACACTCGCAGAGTCAGATCTCTCTTTCCTTCCCTGCAATCCCAATCTCAGTTCCTCCCATTCTTCCTTTCACTCTCACAATGCGAATCCTCCTCCTCCTCTCCCTCGCCACGCTGCTCCTCTTCTCCTCCTTCTCTCCCACCCTCTGCGCCGACGACGACAACGAAGATCTCAGTTTCCTCGAAGACGAGCCCTCCACGCCCGGCCACAATCATCACTTCGCCGATGACGCAAGCTACGGAGACTTCGACGACTTCGAGGACGACGCCGAACCCTACAAGCAGCCTGAGGTTGACGAGAAAGACGTCGTCGTTTTGAAGGACAAGAATTTCAGCGAAATCGTCAAGAATAACCGCTTCGTCATGGTTGAATTCTACGCGCCGTGGTGCGGCCACTGCCAGGCCCTCGCGCCGGAGTACGCCGCCGCAGCCTCCGAGCTCAAGGGCGAAAATGTCATTTTGGCAAAGGTGGATGCCACGGAGGAGAATGAATTGGGGCAGCAGTACGATGTGCAGGGTTTCCCCACTATCTACTTCTTTCTTGATGGCATTCACAAACCTTATAATGGCCAAAGGACCAAGTAACTATCTCTCTCTCTCTCTCTCTCTCTCTCTCTCTCTCTCTCTCTCTCTCTTCTATTACAACTCTTGATTTGGTTGGATCTGACTCTGTTTTGTTTGAATTTGATGGGAATGCAGGGATGCTATAGTGACGTGGATTAAGAAGAAGATTGGACCTGGTATATATAACTTGACTACCTTGGAGGATGCTCAACGTATTTTGACCAACGAAACTAAAGTTGTTTTGGGCTTCCTCAATTCTTTAGTTGTAAGTACTCAGATTTATTCGTCCATGTTTTGATTCAGGATGATAAGTATAGAATGACTTTAACTTAACTATCTGTCTATTTCGGTTCTACGTTAGGAATTAGTTTTCGTCCAGAATTGATTTTGAATTAAAGAAACTTTTGATGCGTCCGCATTGTATAAAAAAATTTATACTTGCTACTAACTTGCTTTTAGAATAAAACATTCAGATATAAATCACATCACTTCAGATCGAATTGATCTAAAATTAATTTTGTAAACATTCACCAAAAACACATGCAGCTGACGATTTTGAAATATTAAGGCCTTTTGCATATGTTGATTTGATTCTCTGGATTAAATCAAAGCCTTGAGCTGTATAGTTAGAATAATGAAATTTTTGGTTGTTTTTTCTTTGACAAGTGAAATTGTTGGTTGTTATGCTTCATTATCCTGTGATGCATAATGTGCAGGGTCCTGAGAGTGAGGAGCTTGCTGCCGCTTCAAGAATTGAGGATGATGTCAACTTTTATCAAACCGTGAATTCTGACGTGGCAAAGCTTTTCAATATTGACCCCGATGCGAAGCGCCCCGCTTTGATCCTCGTCAAGAAGGAGGAGGAAAAACTTAACCACTTTGGTTTGTTTAATTTCTCATCCTTAGTCTTTGCTTCGCATTGCCATGTTTTTTTTTTCCTTGTAAAGTTGATGCATTTTCACTATGCCTATGCAGATGGCAAATTTGAGAAGTCTGCAATAGCGGACTTTGTCTATTCCAACAAGCTTCCTTTGGTAACAATTTTTACAAGAGAAAGTGCCCCAGCAGTCTTTGAAAATCCAATCAAGAAACAGGTAGGTTTTTATATACATGTATCTTGTTATATTGTAATCTCTTAAGAACAATATTTTGATAACCTTGCTTTTTATTTGAAATGATAATTCTAGTTGTTGCTGTTTGCGACATCAAATGATTCGGAGAAGTTCATCCCGGTATTTCAAGAAGCAGCAAAATCGTTCAAGGGAAAGGTGATTTCTTACAGGCGAATTATTACTCTGTTATGTCATTCTTGCTCTGGACAAAATTTGCATGTCTTGTATTTCAGAACAAGAACAGAGCAAATTGAAATAGAGTTCATTGTTTTTCATTCGAAATATGGGGCAGGGCACTGCTTAGTGGGTCATGAAAGTAGATTGGGAGGAAGGGGTTCAGAGATGTAGTTAAGATGGCATGGGATTTAGTTTAGTGGTGGATGTAATTTTTGTTTGGAAAACATAAAAGGTGGATAAGTGGATACGAAATAGGTTTAAAACCTTACAGGCATGGTAATTGCTTAAATTCTGAAAGCAAGTTCTTATTTGATTAGCTTTAGGTCATGATGAGTACAAAGAAAAAGTGCTGTGCAGATTGTTTCTAAGCTAAAGACTTTTTGACCTTCATATCCTTGTATATGCAAATATCCTTGTTCCTAATGATGATATATGAAATTTGATTCTTCATTCTGGTTTTGCTACATTTTACTCATAACCCATCTCCCCCATTTTATATATAGAAAATGATAAAATTTACGTCCTACATTTTACTAATAAAAATTTCACATATCTCGTTTAGCTCTTGTCCCTAAAGCGTACATAGATGTTTTTATAATGTATTATCTTTATTGCTATTATATATTGCAGTTGATCTTTGTATATGTGGAACTGGATAATGAAGATGTTGGAAAGCCTGTTTCAGAATACTTTGGTATCAGTGGGAATGCTCCAAAAGTAATTATTTCTACTTCCCTGTTTTAATTTTATTTAAATTATAAGCCATGAAAATCATGACATTAACATATTATATCCTTTAAATAATTTGGAATTGTATTTAATTTATCAGTGGAATTTCCAATACAGGTACTTGGATACACTGGGAATGATGATGGGAAAAAATTTGTGCTTGATGGCGAGGTGACTGCTGACAGAATTAAGGTACCTTTTGACATAGGTTTTTGTTAATTTTGCTAACATGTTAGGAAATGTTATGGATGTTTTTATGGATACTTCATTAGGTTTGTTAGCAATATTTTTTGACTAAATTTCTAATATCCCATTTTTTACAGGCATTTGGGGAAGATTTTCTCGAAGACAAGCTAAAACCATTTTACAAGTCAGATCCAATTCCTGAAAGTGTATGTTATTTTATTTTCCCACCATCAATTATGTCCTATTAATTTAGCATTTCATTTCTAACGTGTTTACTAATTTGGTGACAGAATGATGGTGATGTGAAAATAGTAGTTGGGAATAATTTTGATGAAATTGTCTTGGATGAGTCAAAGGATGTTCTCCTTGAGGTAAATTTTAACCCTTTATTTTTTTACTTATATTTGCATTTGCACCTTTATTATGTTGATTTAATGCTTGTTGGAATCAGATTTATGCTCCCTGGTGTGGCCATTGCCAAGCACTGGAGCCAATATATGACAAGCTTGCAAAACATCTTAGTAGCATTGAGTCTCTTGTAATAGCCAAGATGGATGGAACAACAAATGAGCATCCCAGGGCTAAGGTAAGCCCAGATTTTAATTGCAAGTATTTTTTTACATGCTATTGTTAATTATCAATAGAAACGGAGTTTAGTGCCAACTCTTGCTAGGTGTTTGGGTTTTCAATCCGAATCCATTATTCCTTTAGTGATCCATCTTAACTGAGTAATGAAAGAAGTGAGAATTTAATTGTGAATATTGATTTGTTTTCACTTTGCAGCCTGATGGATTCCCCACTCTTCTCTTCTTCCCAGCAGGAAACAAGAGTTTTGACCCTGTAAGTGAATATTAAACAACAGTACATATTTTTATCAATTTAGTTTCCCAATATGCTTATGCTTGTGTAAGTGTGTGAATATGAGATCTGCATATGCTTTTATCACAGGGTGATTAAAAAACATGTAATTGGTTCGTTTTGTATGTAGATTACTGTTGATACAGATCGTACTGTGGTAGCCTTCTACAAGTTCATCAAGAAACATGCATCAATCCCATTCAAGCTCCAGAAACCAACCTCAACTACTCAACCCGAGAGCTCTGACGCCAAGGGGAACACTGGTGCCAAAGATAGCCAGAGTAGCAATAGTGATGTGAAGGATGAATTATGAGGAGTTTAGTAACATTTTTATTTATAAAACTATAATTCAGATTGATGATGACATAGTGACTGAAGGAGAAAAAATCAGCTACTTCTTCTCATCCCTGGCCAATAAAAAAATGAGGGGACGGAGGGGCACAATTTCGAGGCAACATATGTATTACTATTAGCTTCAATTTTTACAACTGTGGGTTTTTTTCAATTCTGGGCTGAGACTTCAATAAATTCCCCCTAAATTTTACTTTTTATCTCCGCGCTCATGATAATAAAGTATCCATGTACTAAATTAAGTATTTAAAATATCCTTATAATTTTGCTTTTTATTCTAACTTTTTTTTTCATTTGTGTATAATTTCTGTATTTCCATTCTTTATTGTTTGATTTTTTTTCCTATTATTTTTATTGAAGGTTTTTTTAATAATTATAGGTAAATAATAATTAATATTATATATGAATTATATTTTTTATATTCAATGGATCTAAATTACTAAAATAATATTTAAAAATGAAGTTGAATTTTGGAAAAATTAATCTAAAATATATTTTTGAATTATTTTGGATTGGGTGTTTGGAATGTATTCTAAACATGAAGATAAATATAAGAATAAAATGATATTTAATTTAATTATGGGATTGTTTATGGAGGTGCACAAAACAATAATCTAAATTATCGTGCATGAATGGTAGATCTAGTAGATTGGCTCTGGTTTTGTTCAAGGTATCATCAATATAATGGTGTTGAAGGAGAAATAACAATATACGCATGGGAACCTCACAACTCATTATTTAGTTTTTTTTTAAATATTTTTCGTAAACAATTTAAAACACTGTTTTTGAGCATAATTAAAAAAAAATCTTGTATTAAAACTATAAATTAAAATCTGTTTTACCAATAAGAAAATGAAAATTTTGTTTGATAAATTGTTTCGAAAACGATTTTAAAAATTAGAAAAAAAAATCATTTGGTTGTAACTTTTTTTAGGGTTTAAGATTATATGAATAATTAGTTTTAGAATTTAAATTCAAACTTATTGAATTTTATCTCCTAGAGTAAAATATACTATTTTGCATTTTTGTTGGCACTTCATTAACTAATATCTATTAATGTTTTAACTATTAAGTTAGGATAAAATTTTGAATCCTTATTTTCAATATTGATTGTCATTTATAAAAAATAAATATTAAAATAGATAACATTATTTATTATTAATAAATTGCATGAAATAATTTAAAAATAAAATAAAAAACTCACCTATTTAGAATAAAATGTCACTTGAAGGAAATGAATGTGTTCGAAGAAGAGATCCTAACTTATTAAAACGTTGTCTTTCGATCAAATGGTTTCAAATGATAAAAGAAGTTAAATAAATAAAACATGAGGTAAGATGACTACGTATGAGAAGACGGGTCTGACCTCGCAGCATGTTTTGACCTGTGCCGGTCAAGTTCGCCAATACGTTAATCTGTTTTACTAATAATTTTTTATTATGATATAATATAAAAAATTAAAAAAATAATATATAATATCATAATAAAAAAATTATTAATAAAACAATATATAATATAAAAATTTATTGAACGAAAATTATAAAAATTTCAATTTTTCATAAAGAAAATTCATAAAATCTCATTGTCTTATTAATAAAAAAATTCCAAAAATTTTATAATTACTTAAATTTATATTATGAAAACACTTTCATTTTAAATTCTTCTCTCTCTTCTTCCTCGTCATCCTTCTTCATAAGATAAAAATCATATATATCTCATATTTTTTAATATAAAAAAATTTAATAAATTTTTAGTATTATATACATATATTTATTATATAAATATTATCTTAATTTAATTATTTTAAAATATAATTTATTAAAATAATATATCAATTTATATTATTAATTTAAAATATATATATATATATATATATATATATATATAACTATTGATAATGATAAATTTTTATTAAATTTATTGAAAAATTTAATTTAAAAATAATAAAATAAAAAATATAAATCTTTTGATGAGATAGACAAGACCTATAGTCTATCATAATTATACTGGACTAGCATATGCGATCCTGTTTTCATGAGACAACGGGTTAAGTGACTCGTTTTCCCATCTAAAAGTGACGGAATCTGTAAAGAGAGTTTCTAAATATTAAACTCATTATAAAAATGGTGCATTAAAGATATTATAAAATGTTTCTTTTGAAAGATTTATAACTTTATCATTAAAGAAAATTAAAATAATAGTATCTTCTTCCTTGTTTCAAGAAAGAGAATAAAAATTGAAAAATAAAACATCTTTTAATAGTTTTTATTTTTTTTAATTTTAAAAAACTAAAATACTGAAAACTATTTTTAAAATATATGTTTTCTCACCTCGTAACTCATGACCTTGTGCGAAGGACGTGTCACGTGAGTTCTTGTAGACGTTTATGCGTCTACTTTAAGCTTAGTGTTTAATTTTAGGGTTTATGAGTAGCTTAAAAAAAAAACTATTAATTATGTAATATTATGATAATGATCAAGTTTTAAACAAATATATTTTTATATATGCATTTTACAAATAATTAATTGTTTACATTTTAAATAAAATATATGAATAAGTTTTAATTAATTTTCAAATTACGTAAAACTTTGTAAATACGAAAATTGATTAGACCAACTAGGCTAATGGTTTGGCTTTATACGAAATTGAAAACATGAAAATGGAGAATTTAGATTGTAATTCAAGATAATTGATTGTGCCAAAAGGAAATTTAGATACACTGAAATAGAACATTCATTTGATCACACTCTTTCAAAGATTAAATTAAGTGGACTTACACTAAATTAAATATTTATTCTAAGACCTTGATTATAAATATGAGAGTCTTGGTAACTAAATTCACACTATTCATCACCCTTAAATTGCGAGTAAGAACATGACAAATTGACAACACCTTTTATATCCGTTGTGGGATAAGTACACGGCATACGTTACTGCGAATCAACGTGCATCAGCGTAAAATGGACGTGATTATTATTTAAATTTAAAGCCATACAATTTGTAAAATAAAAATAACCCATACATGAAAAACAAAGTTTTCCATCACTTGAAAAGCACTTCAGCGTGTGTCCAAACGCGTCTTCCCTTTTCTTTAAACTGCCACAAGTCCAAATCAGTGCCACTCTGAATTTCTCGCGCAACTTCCCTTGCTTTGTGCATGCTGTGGCTTGTTGCAGACTCAGATCTACCGGTTTTTCATATCTTCAACTTCCAACACTTTTCTCACTCCATCTCTTCACAGTCCAGATCCACATTGTTTCTCTCTTCTTTTTTCTCCGTATTTCTTAGAAATAATTAACCAATGCCAAATACAACATTATTTACTCTTTCTCTCCTCTTCTTCTCTCTTTCACTGCACCTCGCTCTCTCCGCCGCACCGTCTCCGTCTCCGTCACCGTCACCGTCCGTCCACGCTCCCAACCCTGCCCCGGCCAGATCACCTCTAGGTTCATCGCCGCCTTCGCCGAGTCCAGACTCCTCTCCGGCGCATTCTCCGGGAAATTCTCCGGCGCCATCTCCGATGGAAATTAGCCACGCCGACGAGAATGACAGAATAGAAAATTCTTCAAGAGGAGGATTGAGCGGGAGCAAGAAGGCAGGATTAGCAATCGGAGTTATCGTGGCAGCGAGCGTAATAATTTTGGCGGGAATGGTGTACAAGAAGCGGAAGCAGAATATACGGCGCTCTCAGTACGCATACGCCGTTCGGAGAGAATTTCTCTGAACACTCTCGTTCTTCCTCTGTAGGTTTGTTTTCTTCGTATACTATACATAATTTCTATATTCTTTTAATATCCGTCACCGTTGCCACTCATTTCCCTCTTCCTAAACCATCATCGTTTCGCGCATTTCATTTCCTCTTGCTTCTTTGTAATAAAGATTGATGTATATTCTTTTTATATTTTTCAACATTAATCATGTTTCATTTTTTTTTTCTTACAGTAGTTAATCTTAAAAATTATGAAATACATTTGGTTATGACGTGAAGGAAAAAATTACAAAAATATTATAAGAAATTTCTTATTTTTCTGATACATATCCGTTGGTTGAATTGAGTATAACCTCTTGCTCCATTTTATTTTCGTATCCTGTTTTAAATTTTTTTATTTTTTTAGTGATAATTTCAACTGCTTATACATGTAACGTTAATAGTATAACCAATTCTTACATTTCTTTTAGAGATAATTAGTGGATTAATACATAAAATATATTCAAAATAAAGTTTATAATATCCCTTATAATTTTTATGTGCTTAGTATTTTATTTTTTATGCTATATATTTAACTTTAAAATATTTTTAAATATTAGGTTTTTGGTTGATTTAGTTTTTTAGAATTAATTTAAAAATAATTTTATTTTTTAAAATAAATTAAAAAAATAATTTAATAACTCTTCTAAAGATATTAACAATAATAAATAGTTACTATAAAAAATTAGACAATAATTTAATAATAAATATTGATGATATAATATAATAATTGACAAAGACGTGGATCTTATTAATAAAATTAAAAGAAGTGAAAATAAACAACATCTTTCATTTATTAATTGTAATTTAAAAAATAAAAAATATTTTTATAAAATGATTATCAAATATATTTTTTATGTTTTAAAAAAAATTAAAATTAATTGCAAATAAAATATACAAACTCTTATTTTGCAACACATAAATATGTGTTAAGAAAGTATATCAGACCTGACTAATCAGGTTTCCTTATAAATACGGAAATTAATAATTTGTTTATATTCGAGAGCATAAACAGAGATTTGACATTTATTTTGATTAAGTTTATTTTTAAAAAATACTTTATTATTTCTATAAAAGTATTATTAGCTAAATATTCATTTGATAAAATGGTAAAGAGAGAAAACACTAAAACTACATTGATGAATAGAATTTCTGTTCTTCTTTCCAAAAGAAGAAAAAAAAAAATATATATATATATATATATATATATATATATATATATATATATATATATATATATATATTCCATGAGTTCACATTGTGGTTTAATTCATTTTTATAATAAAAGTGATCCGAATTACATATAATTTGTTTTTGTGAATGTATTGTTATTATTAAGACTTTTAATATATTATATACAATTGATAATGATTATTGTACTATATAAATCAAAATATATTTATTTTAAAGCTTTTAATCGATTATCATTATATATAAATTAAAAATATATTTATAGTAATAACGTTAATGGATTACCGTAATATATATATATATATATATATATATATATATATATATATATATTAATTGTAATGATTTTAATTATCATATGTAAGGTACATATAATTGAAAAATAGAATAATCAAAAGATTTTAAAATGAAAGAAATTTATATGATATTGGCATGTGATATTGTTTAGTTAACAATGTTTTATATAGTATAATCATAAACAATATCAGCGTAAAGGAAGTTGAAATGATTGAAAGTGAAACCTATAAATTAAATTGTACCTGTTTGGAACATGAGAAGTTATATATTTCATTCCATCTCAGTTTCATGACTTTCCATTATTAATTTAAGCTAATTTGACGTTTAGGAAACTGAAAGTTTTTTTTTTTTTTTTTAATTCTTATGCTTAGATGTCAAATATCAATACTCTTACAAATAAAAATAATAAAGAAAAACAATATTTATAATGCATTAAGTTTTTTTATATATACATTTTACAAGTATTTTGAAATTCGCGTTTATTATAGATTCCTGTTGCCGCTGCTTTTAATTAAGGTTCTGCTTTTTTTAATATTTTATTATTGTAGTAATTCGTTCCAGATTGTTATTTGTATATTTCTTAAGAAATTGTAAGTGCAATAAAGTTTTACATATACTTTATAAAAATGAAAAAAAAAACTGTGACAAAAACTATTATGAGAAATTTTTATAAAAAATATATTAATTAATTTTTATCTTCAATTATTTTTATCCAATCATGAACTCCATTAACAATATTTGAAAAAAAAGTTGGAATTATGGGCTTAGTAGCATCATATACTGTCTGCAAAAAGAAAACGTGGGAAAAAAATGTTACACATTCTACGTTATTCGTTCTCTGCAACTTTGTTGGCTAACTAAATCTAATTTTAACACTGACCAACTTACTTAAAATGCATGTTTTAGTTAACATTTTTTGTAAGTATTTATAAAAAGTAAAAAATAAATATGTTTGTCATAAGTAATAACTAAATTATATATAATTTATAAAATATATATTATAGTAACTAATTTAATTTTTTTTATAAAGTAACTACTACATAACCTAATTTGAGTTTATGAAAAAAATATTTACCTTCTCTTTTTCCATTAATCCTATTGAGTATGTTTATTAAAACATACTTTAACTAATTTAATTTAACCTCCACCTGAATATGTAATTTAATCTTTCAACTAATTGTTGACACCCATGCAATATATCATCAAGCCTTTTAATATTAAAATTTTCAAATTTTATTTCAATTCTTACATACGTTTTTTTAATATATCTAAATATATGGTATTTTTCCAGAACTAATGAATATTAATCCTTCTAATTATTTTAATTTAATCCAAATATAACTAAAAACGCAAATATTAAGTTAATCCAAATACTATACTTTTTAACATTTTACAATATATTCTAATTAAGTTTTGATTTTTGTAAAACAAATTCTTTTATATTACTCTAAAATAAAATAAAAAAACTATCCTTCCATAATTTATACAATAATTCAATGCCAAAAAATAATATTATTTCCAGTTAGGTAGTAAACACATTTAAAATTATTTAATAACACTAGATAAGAAAATCAAAACAAGTGAAAAAATATAGAAAAATAGAGATAAGATATATAATGCTACTAAAATATAAATATATAAATTTTAAATTTTTGAAAAATTGGGTTATTGAATTAAATTAAGTTGACTTTTTCTTTTGAAAGGTTAAGCAATTCCAATTAATTTGATTTAAGTTTGAAGTAACATAAGAATTTAATTTCTATATATTCTCAACATAAAAGTTGACACTATTATGACTCATAACAAGCATAATTATAAAATCAACAAAGTTATAAATAATAATATTTGTTTTTGTATAAAAGTATCAAAGCCTTTGAAAGTCTTTACGTTATTAATACGTAGACTATGTGCTACGATACAAATTGTTTACTCATTCAACAAGCACACTAATAAAATCATTTTAGACTAAATTGATTTGGTTGAAAAGTCAAAATCTTGGAGTTAACCTAACCCGTTTGACACACTGCACATGGGAATGAACTTGGTTGTTTGTTTATTGCCTTTATTTTTCTTATTTTTTTTTTGTCAACTGTGATGGCTTAAACCGATTAGAAATAGTTAATAAAAAGAGTCGCATGGATATGAAAACCATCGTAATCACCCTTTGAAATCGCCTGTCTAATAAGGAAGGAGACATGGTATACCTGGCAATATTCCAAGTGTTATTATTGCTCTTATTGATGGGGGCAAAGCAACACTGTATTGTTTGTATACATGATATAACTGTGGATCTCCCCATTCCAAGATATAGTTGGGATATTTGCTAAGGAATTTCAAACTATGCTGCAACTTAAGCTTTCAGTGCTTAACTACACACGATAATTATAAATTGGCCTTGAATGCCAATCTCAAAATTGAAATCTTTCTTTTACTCCTCTACAGGAGGTTCCACCCAACGTCCATGCTCTTTTATTAGATCAATCAAGGCATCGGTTGCATGCTCCATTACAACTCCACGCTTCACCACTGTCTGTAATTGTAATAATTCATTCAACATATTGTCAAAATCCATTCAGCACACATAGAAAATTGAAAACAGGTTTTCTTTTTCATGTAAAGCTTTAGTAATATGGGTATGTAGAATATGTTACCTTTCCAACATAGAGATCAATCTTCCCAGGAGTGCCTCCCACATACCCAAAGTCTGCATCAGCCATCTCACCGGGTCCATTTACAATGCATCCCATGATTGCAATCTGATGCAGGAGAAAGTAAACATAGCAAATCAAAGGCATTTCTCATTTTGTGCAGATGAAATCAGTTTACACTGTTGCAATTGGGAGGTTGGAACATTATCTAGAGAACAAAGGATAAGGTGATTACCGAAACCCCAGGGAGATGTGAAGTCTTCTCCCGGATTTGTGCACTCACTTCTTGCAGATCAAACAATGTTCTGCCACAGGATGGACATGAGACATACTCCTGCAAGTTCATGTTTACGCATATCAATAAATATCATGGCTATTTCTTTTTCATAGTCAATCTATGTCTTGTCTGCGCTTGATCTACTTACTGTCTTTGTATTTCTCATTCTGCAGCCTTGCAACAAATTGAAAGAGGTGTTTCTAATAAATTCAAAATCCTTGTCTGGGGCTTCCAAAAGAAGCCCATCTCCAAGCCCATCAACCAGAAGGGCTCCAGCATCAGAACCAGCACCAATTACCAAGTCATCCCTACAAGAAGTAATGATTAGGTTTTCTTTCACAAGAACTACTTATTTCTTGCATATTACCATAACTTGGAAAATTACCTGTGAATCCCATTTGGAAACTGAATGTGGTGAATAACAGGGAAGTTTAGAGAATTATCGGATAGGTACTCAAATAACCTGTCACCAGTGCAAAGAAATCACGATTAGAAAAATCTAAGAACCAATGATGATTAATTTTATGAAATGGAATCATATATACAGACAGCTCAGATCAATTATACTTGTCCCCAAACAATTATGATTTTACTATTTAGTGTCCATCAATAAAACTCAGAAAGCAAGGTCAATCAGTTACTCAGATTGGATTCACAATGCCAGATTGTTGCAACAAATAATTAATCATGCATAATTTTCTCACCGCCTGGCTGCGTGCACTCTACTAATTTTGTTTTCTGTATAAGGCAGGTCGTGGAGAAGCATAGTAGCATCAACACCTTTAAGAATGTCCAGTTCTTCATAAGACTCATCACCTCTTACTGACACAACCAAGCGTGTGCCTGATAGGTTACCAATTGATATAATATCACACATCAATTTGAAGTGGAATAGGAGAAAATGTTATCAGAGTAAAAAACAAGTTAAAATTGAATTCTATTGACCTTCCTGACTTCAAAATTTTTAACAGATGTAGTTCCCCTTTAGCTTTGATGTTAAAATTCAAAAATAAGGGAGCTCTACATAATTTTCAAAACAAGGTCTGTTCAATTATTAAACTGAAGGGAGATCCATGTAATTAATTCGGAATCTAAAAGTAGGGGGAGTGGTGCTCAGAAAGAACAGCACCTTGTGGCAAAAGTTTGTAAGCACCAGTAGATAGTTCCTTCAGGTTTACTAGAACCATGGCATTGGGTAATGGCTTTGTTAGCTGCTCCGACAAAGGAGTTATAACCCCCATGCTAATATCTATCAGTCTCTTGAGAGCTAGTCGCTGATCACAATACCCAAAATCACAAAGAGGAGATAAAAATCATTCAATGGTCACAACTATTGACAAAGCCAAGAGTTTGTGGGAAAATGAAGTAGAACAAGTAAATGCTTTTATTTAAAATTGGTTGGCACAGTCGAGGCTCTTACAGCATCAGCATCATCTACCGGAGGAAGCTCCCGTAATAAAATTGAATCTACTGTTGCCAGATCCTGAACATATAGAGCATACTATGTCAATAACTACTTGTTTAAATCCACTACACATTCATCCATTAAAATAGAGTGACACAAACCTTAAACGGCATGCCAACAATGAGTTTGGCAGCAAGGGACTTGTAGAGGAGCTCTGGCGTCTGTAAATATTATGAGGGAACAGTTTTCAGAATGACACTACCCACCTCCAAATAAATTAGAAAAACAAAGGGAATGGAAATGTGATGCACGTAAACAGATATACTAGAGAAATTCAGTCAGAGAAACAGAAGAGAAAACAAGGAGAGAGTTATTAAATGTTACCTTTAACTGATCCAAGGAGACTGACATGAGAACAGAACCATCACGGTGCAGTACACCTCTGTAATCCACTTCCTCACCCTGTATGAAGATGGAGATTTCAGTAATATATGTAAGGGCAGTGCCAAAAGAAGGAAGGAAACTGTAAATACAATGTCCCAGTTTGTGCATAGGTTTTCAGTATTTTTAAAGAGTTTATAATATAACCTCTTTTTGCACTGGCAATTGTCCAGATCGGCGCTGGAAGTCAAAATAATGTCTGCTCTTTTCTTCAAAAGGTTCCTGATGGAATTAATGTTATCAAACAAATGCTATTAGTATTTGAGGACACCAGAATTTAGAAAGTTTAGCCATGTCTTATTGAAGTGTGATTTTGAATCATACCACCCCCTTCTGGAGTTCAGATGCTCTCATTCCAAGATTTGCCAACCTTCTGCAAGGATCTATCTCCTCCTCTGGTGGTTCTGTGAGAGAAACCCTAATTGTATCTCCCAATCCATCCTAATGAACAGCATATTGTCAACATAATAAGCCACTAAAGAATACAAAGATAGAAACATATTTCATTTTATGGCAATTTGAATAATTTTCATTTAATAATGCAATCAATCACATGCATACCTGAAGAAGAGTTCCAATGCCAATTGCCGACTTCATCCTCCCATCTTCACCTTCTCCAGCTTCAGTAACTCCCAAGTGTAATGGATAATCCCAGCCTTGGACATACATTTCAGCTACAAGTAAGCGGTATGCCTGAACCATGATAACTGGGTTGCTTGCTTTCATAGAAAAAACAAAATTGTGGAAGTCCAACTTCCGGCATATCCTTGCAAATTCAAAAGCAGATTCTACCTGCCCAATCATGCTTAGTAAGAACAACACTTCTGACTGACACACATGAATACACAAAAAATGTATTGAAGATGCAGAATAAGAGGGGGAAGGATTGCTTACCATCCCCCTAGGAGAATCTCCATAGTAGCTCATTATTCGATCGGAAAGACTGCCATGGTTTGTCCCAATGCGCATTGCTCTTCCATATTTCTTGCATTTCTCAACCAATGGTGTGAAAACCTGGATTTTTTGAAGCTTAGGTCAATAGGTTCACATTCAGTCATGGTATTATTAATTAATTCTAACAGGAATTGGAAGGAAGAAAATACAGTTTCCAATTTCCATGCATCAAGAAGAAACTACAAATATGGTAGACATTTCTGGAAATCTTTTGTTTAGACTTTAGTTCAACTTCAGTAAAATCATATTATTTTTTATTTTCCAGAAAATAAATGGTAAGGAAGGAATCATGTGGAGAGAATGGTACAGTACACTATATCCATTTCCTATATACTCAGTAATTTTTTAAGCACATTTACATAAAACATATATTATTCTCACATCCTCAGTAAGGACTACTAAGGCATGTATGAGTGTATAACAGAATCGGGACCCAAAGACAAGTACTGATAAATTAGCATACTGCATTCACTAAAATTTGAGACAAAATCAACCTTTTCAATATGCTCAAGTTCTTTCTGATAGTCTTCTTCTGTGTACTCTAATTTTTCAAATTGAGCTCGTCTGTCAGCTGCAGAAGATCAACATCTTGAACTCAGAATGAAAGCCAACAGTCGGAAAAAAAAAAGACTAATGAATAAATTGAAAGAAGTGCATACCAAAATTTCCAGGGTTTACACGAATCTTATCAAAGCATTCAGCTACCCGTAATGCAACAGTTGGAGCAAAATGAATATCTGCCACCAACGGTATGTTGTAGCTGGACAAAGATCAATAAGAAGCCAGATGAATACATAAATAATATGTTTATAGCATCAACCATGTCCTTTAAAATAACTATAATATAAGCTTACTTTTTCTGCACAAGGGAGTTTTTAATCTCAAAGCATGCATCAGCTTCTTTCTTCCCTTGAACTGTAATCCGTACAATATCAGCTCCTTTATCTGCTATTCTCATAACCTACCAATAGACAACAGATAAATCAACAAAACTACTCCATCCATCAGCCAGATATATTGAGAAAAATAAATAGGCATAACAGTGTAAAATGGCCACAAGCTAGTGTTATTAGTGCAAAGCTTAATTAACGGCTGAATAACCTGTTCAACTGTTCCAGCAACATCCTTAGTATCAGTTGTAGTCATGGTCTGAATTCTTATCGGATGCTCGCTACCAAGAGCCACGTTACCAACCATCACTGTGCTTGTTTTTCTCCTGACAGTTTTGTGTAATGATTCACAATACTTTTGCCTAGGAACTACGTTCAAAATATTATGCAAGGATCAGGTGAACTGAAAATAAAATAATGCAATGAAAAAAATGTTTTTACAACATCCAAATCTTAACAGAAATACTTGTTTTAATCTCCAACGAGAGACTAAAACAGCATTACTTTTGATAAAATGTAGGAACTAAAAGAGTATTAAATTTTATTGAGCTAGAACCAAATTTTTAACCGTAATGATAAACCAAAAACATAAACCCCCTAGTCAAGCAGAAATACCCAAATAGTCGTTAGAGATGACATTTAGGAATGAAAAATTGAAAATCAATGGCCGAAAAAGACAATCAAAGCTTTAAAACAGTCCAAAAAACAATAAAGCAATATCTTTTTCACGATAAGTAAACATGCATACCCAAAAGAGGACTTCCTGGGGATGCCGGTTGAAGTTCAGCAATATCCTGGCCAGGATTCGAGTTCCTAATAATCGATACCCTTTTCCTCGCAGATTTCATGCTCTTCAAATCGGAAACTCTAACAAAATCCATGCTTCTTGCAAACCCCAGACTGGAATCCCATGTTTTGAGAGTGGAAAACGAGGTTGGCACAGTTCCGGAAGCCATTTCTGAAGCGCAACAGTACCTTACCTGACAGATTAGAAATTCAAATAAACTGAGTCGATGAATGGCAACACCACAGAAACCACCAAGTTTGAGAATTTAATCAAAAGAAGCCGTCAACAAATCTTTGCTTATTGTGACGAATTTCAAAGTCACAGAATATTATATTCAGTCAAGAAGAAACAATGAGGAAAAATGAAACATTGACTACAATATTTATTTTCATTTGTAGCAGAAAATGTTGAATTGAAAGGAGATAGTTTACCTGGTCGAGATGAGAAGAGGGGTGTGGTGGGTGGTGGACTAAATTTCAGAGCCCTCTAATTCAGAAAATTGACTATGTATTTGAAAAGAGTGAGGTGAGTGAATAGGAAATTGGAGAAATACACGACAAACATTGGTTCGTCGCAAGCTATGAAGACCAACATTATTATTCTTCTTCTTATTATTATTATTATTATCATCATCTAGCAGCCACACATGTGGCCTTTGTTTTCACTTTTCTACTTATTATTATTTTATTAAGTCCTAAAATTAAAGATAAACACCCTTATTTTAATTTACCAGAATTTTTTGTAAGATAAAAGGACAAGAACTTAAATTTACGATAATTTTTTGAAAAACTAATATTCATGTATTATATTTTATGCATGCAGCGTGATGATGCCACAAGCCCAAGGTCCCCACACAGAGGGTCTGCAATATGAGTTCTGAATTCGGTGTATGATCCTCTGAAGCTGTAATTGCTCTCCAACAGTGATCATCACCGTTCAATATACATCAAGTGGTCATCATTAAACAAATATTTATATAACTATTTATGAATAATTCATTTGGTGTTGCATAGGGTGTGGAGGGATGTACACAATCCAAATGCATTTTGACATTCGAACAAGTTTGTGTTACGTTACTTGATTCCGTCTCGAAATAAAACTAATGAAAAGATTAATTAAAAATTAATAAGCATTAATTGAAATGTTAAATTTATTAATTTTAAGGAAATTACCTTTTTGAAGTTAATATAAAAATGATTAAATATAATCATTAATAAACAAAATAAAATTAGTTTAATGTTTTCATTTTTTAAACAAACATTGAATCATATTTTATATTTGACATTTTACAGAAAATAAGAGAAATAAATTATTGTTGTTTACACACTTTTCAAAACATGTATTTTTAAATTAAAGATATTTTTGTTTTTAAAATATTGAAAAAAATGTAAAAGTGTTTTTCTTTTTACTTATATACTTTTATAGGTTTTAATAAAATTTAGTGAATAAGTGAAAAATATGTTAAAAGAGTAAATTCCCGCCAAAGATATTCTTATTATACTGAATACCAGACTTATATTAGGGAATATCCGCCATCAATATAAAAAATATATGCCGTCAATAAATTAATAAAAAAATGCCGCCATTAGCAGACTAATCACAACCATTACCTACCTTAACGAAAGTCCACAATGAAGAATAAATTGTATTATTATTTTGTTAGAATAAAAACTAGTTATTAAGTGAAAAAGTAAACTATTTTAACAATTTTAAGTGAAGAAAAATATTTGGTACGTTTAAAGTAAAAAGTATTTCATAAAATTAAGACCCACTGAAAATAGGGGTATATACTAAAAATTATTATATTAGTTTATGTTAGTTTTTATAAATAATTTGATTAAGTAGCTTAAGTACTTATTTTACTTTCATTATCACACAACTACATTTTTTTTAATGTGCCTAAAAAACGTTGTTTAGGAATGTGAAAAGAAAAAAATAGAAATAAAAAAGCAGTACATCACTAGTTAGAAATTGTGTGAGTGAGTTAAAGAGAAAGATTTGTAACATCGATTCTTTGCAATGTGATATTTATCAGAACATATATCGATTAAAAATAAAATTTAAAAAAATCAAATATAAATTTTAAAATAAATAACTTTTTAAATAAAATAATAGTCTTTGAGAGAGTTATTAATGTTATTCATTAAAAAAATAATGAATCGTATCTCGTAAATATATCTCATACATGGATGATTGTTGATAGCAGCTTTCTGCAACATAAGATTTTGTTTTAGTTGATGGGATGGGACGAATCTCAAACCCATTGCTACGTGTTCTTCACTTCACATGTTTTTCACAGTTACATGTGCATTGCTCAACCCCTCACTATTATTGTATCATAATATATTTTTAAAATTTAAAATATCTACACCTAATATTATATTTTTTTTTAAGATATTACGTTTAAAGTATATATAAGAAATATATATAAGAAATATAGGTTCAACTTCCAAAGTATATATGGTATTGGTTCAACTTCCAAAAATATTATGTTATAAAAACTTGAATGAATACACAATTGTTCCTTCCCACTCTCTTAATTATGAATACTATAAAAATAAGTTATTAATGAAAAATTATTATAGTTTTAAAATCTTTATTTGTTATATAAAATACTCTTCCAAACTATTCTTAGGAAAATTTAATATTTATCTCATACTAAAATATAGAATCTTTTCGTATATCCAGTATTTACATTATGATAAGACTTTTTATTTTGTCAATATATATATATATATATATATATATATATATAATTTGTTAAACAATTATCATATTGATTACAATATATATATATATATATATATATATATTATTGTATAATTAAATAAATATTATGCTGTAAAAGAAGAAAGGTATAGTAGAAGTTGCTGTAACTTTGAATTTATTTTAAAAAGATTTAAGCTTGACGTGTTTCAATGTTTGTATGAATGTTCATACAAATTGTGGTGTGCACTAAAATAATAAAATCAAGTTTAATGTAGATGGAAACTACTCGTTCCTCTTGTATTGGTTCTGGTGGTGCACTACTTCTCTCAAATCGTGGATTTTCTTTGGTGATGTGGAAAGTTCAAAATTCACTCTCTCTTTCTAACATGGAATATAGAAGGTTTCGATATGAGGATTTTTTTTTTTTTTTTCCATTATCATCTTCATGCAGATCTAGTATGACTTACTAATTAATAACAAAAAATGATAATCGCTTATTTGATGTATAAAGAACAGTCCTCGATTTAACGTGAATTATTTGTTCTTTTTATAAGTATTTATCGTGTGAAATAATTTTTTTAAGATTATTTGTAACTTGCAAAAGTACTTCAGGTGGGGCCTCCATATGTTTACCTTTTCTGAATACAAGAGCAAAGATGCACACAATCGACGTGTACATATCACTCATTTTTGCATTTTCTATACTTCTAAGAGAGAAAACAATGTTGCTTTCGGAAGCAACAATGCTATGCAAGCAACTTGTGTTTTCCTGTAACATTGAGAGTTGTCACGGAGTGTATTTCTTCTTCCTCAAAATTGCTTAGATCCTCTAATATGTTAGATTCAGTAGCTGATCATTATTATACGATTTATAATCTTGACGTTTCTAGGAGACTCAACTTAATTTGAGTTGATTGTATGGTTATTCTAAACTCATTTGACTCTTTTTTTTTCTTAAATTATGTTTTATTCTTATAGTTTATCAAATGAATGATTTTTGTCCTTTTAGTTTTAATTGTTTCAAGATTTTTATATTTTTACAAGTCTAACTCTTTGGACAATGTACACAAGTCTAGTTTCCAACAGTATAAGCCTCAAGATTAGTTTACAATTTTCTGTTTTCCTTATCCATATGAGATAAGGACATAAGAGAGGTAGAGGGTTCCAAATTATTGGATTTTTTAAAGAATCATGGGATTAAGACCTTCGCATATTACAATTCTTGGATTTGTCACGATTAAGGTAATACATGTTCTTTGAGTTAGTTGGTTATTGCTGAGAAAAATGTTTCTCTCAAAGGTAATATTAATTGTGGTCGGTTTTTACAATTTTTGACAAGGTTTCTTCAAGAGTTCAAGAAAGTGCAAGGTTATTAGAATTTTAATAGTGATTTTTCTGTTTGATTGCAAGTTCTTAGAATTTTAAAGAAAGTTTTCGGCCAAATTGGTTGGAGACTGTAAAATCTTAACATGCATCATTTAGTAAGTGTGATTATCTGATCTATCTCAGACACAAATCAATTGTTATGAGAAAAGATTTTTAGAAAACCATTTTTGGACAGGTGTTGTTTTGCTGTGGAGAAATGCTTAAGTCAAAGAAATAAACAAAAATGATTCCACTGCAAGAGGAACTCTAGTCCTACCTTATTCTCTATTACGACAACATATAAGCTGTACATTGAAGTCTGGTGCATATGTACACCTTAGTAAAATCCTGCCAGGGCCAAATCGCCTATAACATGACAATTGACAATCAGTTTTGTCAATTTAGAGCTTAGTTGACAATACGATTTGGTAGCCCTTCTTGTGTCATCTATGAAGAACTACGCTGCTGCTCTGACAAAGCTTGCCATCTTCTTCTCCACCTAGAAATCTCCAAAAGAATTGAACTTCCACTCATCACAACACCAAACCCAGCAAATGTTGCAAGAAGGATGGACAAAACCGCATGCTTACCAACCTGCAGTTGACAAAGTAAACGAATGAAATTAGTCTACATGTTCATGATTCTTCCTGTAGGATCATGTTTCAAACATATTGTCCTACATACATACATTTGACTAGGTGCTAAAGTTGAAGTTACATCATTTGAATATTTTCCTTTTGGTATTAAAAAATCCGGGTGAATGAGAGGTGGCCTGAATCTGTGATCATTCAGGACATGTCACAAGCTTGAGAGCTTACAACTCTGAGCTGGATTTGGAAACAACTTTTTTGTCGCAACCAATCCATCAAATCAACATTTGAACCAACCCTCAAAGTCTAATCCATTTAACTATTTATTTCTCAAAATAATGTCACCGATATTGGCTTGTCCTGTGAAAATTTTAGCGGTAAGAAAGAATTTAGCTCTTATCAAAATCTTACCAAGGGGTAAAAGATATGGGCGAATAGGACCACCGAAATAAATTGGACAGATGCATATATCCAGATGAACCTACTCTTCACTGGAAAACAAAATTTAAGTTAGGATTTGCATATGATAGTGAAACCCAACCACACCTAACAAAATTTGCCAAACAAAGTATCATGAATAAGAATTCTCCAAAAGTATCATGTAATTTGTATTAAAACAATCACCAATTATCACATCATTTATAACCCTACAAGATTCTATGAATAATGTTTAACATTTTCGATTGTTAAACTAAACTATGATAGCACACGAGTATCTTGACAATATCAAGTATGTTTTGTGAACCTACCCATGGTCGTTGATGTCACGGAGGATAGTAGACCCAGTACACATGAAAATGGAAGAGAGATGAAAATTGCCTTGGTTCCCATTTTTCCAACCTGCAAAGTTGAATAACTTAGGATATACAAAATAATAACTTTGATAGTTCTGAATCATGTGATAGGACTTTTATTCTTACCAACAGCTGCTCCAGGAAACAGAAATAGGCAAGCATGCTGACAATAACAAGCACTGGGAGCTCCTGCCAAATCCTGTCAAATGGAACAGACATACTAAGAAGTGTTATGTGTAACAGTAATTTATAGTACCAAGGAAGACTAGTATTGGCTGCACAACTCCAAGGAAAATATTGATTGCAAAACAATATTCTGAAAGCCTCTTGAAGCATGAGAGTTGAAATTTGAACAAGAGATTACAAGGAACGAGCCTACAACTAACACATAGTAAGTCAGGGATCTAAATCTGATCGTTATAAAAGTAAAAATGTAAAATAGACTATTCATGTCACAAAGTTATCACTGGATTCCAAACCCTATGAAAAGTTCTGAGATGGCATGCAAGTTTATTACTTCAATTTAGACGCAGAACAGTAAACTTAGCTCTATATAATTGATAGTGCCATAACCATTATGGTGTATATGAAGAAAGCCAGTGGTAACTAGAGAAAAGTAATGCAAATTTTAGTCAAATAATGACGGAATGGCAGGATGGTGTTGTAACATATTTAATATGATTCTATGAACAGGTTGGCTGTAACATTCTATGGTATCCAGTTAGCTCACGCTGATGACTCATTCATAATACACTAGTAGTTGTCTTTATATAAAAAATAAAAACACATGCCTGTATTCATCTCCCTGCTCGGACCTTGCTCCAGTATTCTGAGTTCGAACACTTCGGATTCGTAAGAGAGTGACGGGGAGGTTCCGCACCTCTTCCTTGCACACATCACAGATCTTGTTACCCTTGATACTAAACCATTTAACAGCACATTCCTGGTGAGCCAGAGCAAGTTCACCTTTGCAGCTGCATTCCATCTTCAATGTCTCACCTCCTTCACATAGATCAACCAGACAAATTCTACACACTGCTTCCTCTTCAGCAATATCTTCACCATCACCATTTTCTAAGCCAAGAAAGACTTTCAAGTTAAAAAGTGCATGTAGGTTTGGAAACAATTTGTTCTAGATTTAGAAATTAAAAAAGTGTCGTTTTAAAAAAAAAAGGAAAACATTTTAAGTGCCTAGAAGACAACAGACACCACACCACAAAAATAAAACAAAATAATTTTAAACAGAAACTTCTAGGAATTACACAACAGATTGAGGTAAATTATATACAACGTAATATGAAATGTCAATTTTTTAGAACCAAATAATGAACATGTCGTATCTGTGTCAATTCAGAGAAAATCTTGTTAGAGTTTTGACATGAAAAAACTATTATTTGTCATGAGTACTTATTTAAGTGCACATAACAAGATACCAGTATCCTTTGTTGATTCATTCACTTTATTTACTCGAGGAGTGGAAGGAATGATGCGGAAAACTGAATCCATTCTCCTGATGCCTTTTTCTTTGCTATTGACAGGCACTGAACGAGAACGAGCTATCATCCCCTGGGGCTCTCCTCCCTGCAAAAGGACCACACATATTAAAGCACATTTATATGATGCATGACTTGACCACGATTGTATATCAGAATGAAGTGACAGTAATAACAAGGGAGAAGTTATCTCAGGGTACAACATGTCTCAGTGAACATGTTATGCAAAAATTGACCTAAACTATAACAGCGATTTCAACTGGTATAATAATTTATCAAAAAAAAAAAAAAAAAGAGAGCATCCAGCTAATAACAAAAGGAGTAGCAGCAAATATAAGTCCCCACTCAAAAATAATTTTAATTTCAGTGGAAGTAGTCTAGCAAATAATGAAATCCTTAAAAAGACAAGATGCCCACTAAATAAATTGTGATTTTAAAACTTAAATGCCCTAGGCTTGAAATCTTACGCATGGAGAAGCACCAAGAGTTCCACCCAGAGCAGATTCTACGTTTGCACGCCCAATTTCTTCTACCGGTAACGAAGACGTTCTATTAATCTTAGGAGTGAACATCTTGGTGAGAGACACTGATCTGGAGATTGAGGACTTGTCTTGATGGCCAGAAAAAGAAGCTTCTGGAACTGCAGTAACAGACTTTTCAATGTCAAGCGATTGACGATTCTTGAAGCCGAATCGTGGTAAGATGTTTCTCATGGATGATTTGCCTCTCGAAGCTGAAGAAGAAGAAGGTCTTGGAGCATCAACAGAGCGAGAAGTCACAAGAAAATTCACTCTCTTATGACTAGGAGTTGGACTCGGCGTCAGCGGCATCCTTATTCCAACAAAATCCTGACAACACTCTTCCAATGTGCTGGTCGGTATTTCCAGCTGAGATTTCTCTCGCTTCCAGTGATTATTTACACGCGAGGTTTCATCTGTTACCCCCATTGGATCATCCACCTACAAACGCAAAAACACGGAATGGAATTGAATATTGAATTGAATGATAAACTAGTAACGCTCCGAAAGCAAAACATAGTAATAGAAATAGTATATATGTATGCACCATGTGCAGTGGAAGGGAAACCGTTCGCTTGGACGAAAGCGCGTCATGTTTTTCCTTTTCATTTTGTTGAGCACTCATTCTGTGGTGACAAAGCAAAGCAACAAGTTGGAACTAACCAGAACACTATGTTACTAGTAGTAGTAGCATCTCTTTGTTATTGCTTAGTGCGTGTTTGTGAACTGAGAAGGGAAAACTCTTAAATTGGGTAACAGAGGAATTTGAACATCTACGAAACAACGTAGGAGCCTGTCCTGTTCTCACTCCCACACACACTTCTTTTCTCCACTATGTCCGGACTCACACCATATGCATTTACATACCAAATTTTTCACACTTTTATATACTCATCATCAAAGCCTATAAATAATCCCTGTTAGGAGAATATGACCTTTACTACCGTTATTTTTTATATAATATTAAAACCGTGCAAAAATTTACATATATAAAATTATTTTTATTATAACCAAATTGATAGAAAGTATTAAAAATTCTGACAGAGATTATTCATTTTATAAAAAAAAAAAAAGTCGCGGGAAGAAGAAAATAGTGAAAGAAGACAAAAAAAAAAAAAAAGAGAGTTTATTGTGTAACAGTGAGTGACGGTGTAGAAGGTAGCAGAGTTACAGAGTTTTCCATACTCTGAGCTTGTTTTTGCATATTTACCGACCTCCTTTCCTTCCCAGTGACGCATTTCTTGTGAATTTTCTCAGACAAGCTGTAAAAAACTGTGGTCACTCTACTCTTTTATGAGGCAGAAAGGAGAAAAGATTCAAATACTTTTCATTTTTCAATCAAACATAATTATCTTTATGATAAGTCTTTCAAAGATTAGTGGGAGATAATATTATTAAGTAATTTGAATATTATTTATACGTGTTTATCATTAACTGAGGCTGATAGTAATGAAGACACATGCTAGCTCTTGACAACAAGACAAAACCTTTGAAATAAATTAAAAAGTAGTCGTATTTAATGATTCTAGACCTTTCTTCGGGCATGGAAATGGTAGGGTTGGGAACTCGAGCTTTAATACTCTGATTTGGATACTTTTTCCTTACCGGTCTCAACGGAAAATTGGGTCGAATATAACGTTAAATATTCCTAAAAAACTCAAACTTTTCTTTTTTTTTCATGAATTTGATGATGATTAACTTTTCTAGTATCTTATATAAGTTATAAGGAGAATTATATTAATTAAGATTTTATATTTGTACGGATGATGTATTTTATTTTATTTTTTTATTGACAGTTATAATAAATTATGACAAGTTTTAGATGAATATCAAAATAATAATTTTAATTGACTACTTACAAATATATTATAAGATGACTTCTTGGTCCTTAAATTTTAATAAAGGTAGTAATATGATTTTATTTAATAAATAATATTAGTTGTTTAATTGTTAAAATTAAATTATAACTAACTATTCAAAATAGATTAATAATAAATTGACAGTACAGATTAATAATTTATTATATTAATATAATATTAATTATTATATTAATATAATATATTATTAACTATATATTTTTCACAAATGTAAACTATCATTTTCCTTCTAAATAAATAGAGTCTGTGTCTGTCAATCAACACACACAATTTTTGTATTAAACCAAAAAGTATTTGCTGGAATTTAACCTTCTAAAAATATTTTAGTTATCAAATTTGTATTTTATTTTTTTTCTTACCAAAAAAAGGTTTAATTTTAAAGAGTCAATATACTATTTTTTTCTAAACACAATAAATTTTGTTTAGTTAATTTTTATAAAAATAAATTATCATATTTATATTAATCTGGATATCCAATATATATAATGAGAAAAACTCAACAACACATTGTTTTGAGAATTAAAAAAAAAAGTCGATTTTTTTTTACACTTTAAATTAAAAAAAATGCCTGGGTCAAAGAAAAGGTTGAATGGTCAACCCATCATGAACTGTGATTTAATATTTCATTGGTTGCATGAGTTGAATAAAAAGTAACTTATAAAACAGGGAAGTGGACTGGACATTAGTATTAGGAGCAAACGTTGTTGAGAATTGTGGTTTTCCCAGGAATACTTGTGGCCTGGAAGCAACGAAAATAAAAAGAATTGAAGAGTACCCTCGACTTTCTCCCACTGGTAAGGTCACTTTAGTTTCAACAACAACTACTTTCATTACGTGTCATAGACGACACACAACATTCGAATGGTCATTAGAATTGACGGTGACAAGTTTCTTTGTTTAGGTTTAGGGTTTGATTAATATTTTGCGTCCTCAAATGTGCCATCTCATTTTGAATTAAATTCAGCATCGACAAACAAGATGCAGCAAAGGAAGGGCCATGCTCACCCTCTCAACTCATTTCGAGAACATGACAATGATACAACAATGTATGATACTTGAGATCTCATACCACATTTAATGCTTCTTTTTTTCTTCTCGTCAATATGCTTTTTCATTAATAACGTTGATTCCCATATTTCGTTTATTATCATTAATACAACTTTCAAGTCAAATTGATTGCTTGCGAAAATAAGAATGTGTATTTGGATAATGAATCATCCTAATATTATCATGTTGGGATAATTTAAGTGTGAGTTAAGTTATAATTTAAATAAAAATAAGAAAGTTAAATAATATATAAAAAAATATAATTTATAATCTGAAATAAGGAATAAACAGTGGAACCGTACATGATATTGATTCTACAAATTATAGTTTCTAAAAAAAATTAAATGAAACACAACATAATCAATGATTGGTGTATGAAGGTTCCGCCTGAAGCAAAAAAAAAAGTGGAGTCTGGTAACAGAATGGAAAATGAGAGAGAATTATGGAATATTATGTAGAGAGAAAAGAGAGAGTAGAGAGAAGGTTCTTACCAAAAGCCTTCTCTATCTAATATCAAAATCCCTTAAAAACACACACTCTCTACGTGGCCTAGTGCTTTTTCTCGTGTCCTTCTTTTGCTGATCCTGATCCACGTGTCTCATTGATTCCATTGCATTCTCTGTGCCCATTCTACTTGTTACAATACCCTTCCCATTAACAGCAACCTTGCCCTCAAGGTTGAATTGAGGATAAGCTTGTTGAAATTCATCCAGATCTTCCCAAGTAGCTTCCTCAGGTTCCATAGAGTGCCACTGTACCAACACTTGTTGTACTTCAATGGAATTGTGCTTTATAATTCTTTTATCCAACACTGTTATTGGACTCAAGATAGGTCCAAACTCAGTGGTGGTCAAAGGTAGGGGTAAATATTGGTTAGACTGTATTCCCATAAACTTTTTGAGCAATGAGATGTGGAAAACAGGGTGAATCCGAGCTGTATCAGGAAGCTTTAACTTGTAAGCCACTGAACCTATCTTCTCCAGTACTTCAAATGGTCCAAAAAAACGCATGCCTAATTTTTTATTCTTTCTAAGAGCCACCGAATGTTGTCTATATGACTGCAACTTCACTAATGCCAAATCACCAATTTGCAGATGGAATTCTCTCCTTTTCTTATTTGCCTGTACTGTCATATAATTTTGAGTCTCCATCAAGTTGGTCTTGAGTTGTTGCAACACTTTTTCTCTAGTGATTAAAGACTCTCTAATGGCAGGAAGATCTGTGGAATTGACTTCATAAGGAATGACCGAGGGTGGTTCTCTACCAAATACAGCTTTAAAGGGGCTCATTCTTATGCTGTGGTGGTAGGAAGAGTTGTACCAGTATTGTGCCCAAGGGAGCATAGAGTACCACAACTTGGGATTATCAAACACATAACACCTTAAATACATTTCCAATGTCTTGTTAAGTACCTCAGTTTGTTCGTCACTTTGGGGATGATATGCAGAGCTCATCGCCAAAGTTGTGCCTTGAGCTTTAAATAAGTGCTGCCAAAATGAATTGATAAAGATTCTATCTCTGTCCGATACAATAGTTCTCGGAAACCCATGCAGCTTTGCCACATTATTAATAAAAGCTTCTGCTACACTTTTACTGGTAAAATGGGCTTTCAAAGCAATAAAATGCCCAAACTTAGAGAGCCTATCAATGACTACCAAAATAGTAGAATAACCATGTGAAGTGGGAAGATTTGTAATGAAATCCATGGCTATGTCTTCCCAAATCTGTTGAGGTATTGACAATGGTTGTAACAGACCATAGGGTAAAGCTTGGTCCACTTTAGCTTGTTGACAAATATTGTAATGCCGTATATAAGCCTTGATATCATCTTGCATTTTTGGCCAATAAAAATGATTGCAGATTCGGGCTATAGTCTTTGTATTTCCAGCATGACCACCCACTTTCGAGTCATGAAATTCCTGCATAATATGGTTCTTCAAATCCTTATCAGCTGGTATCATCAATCTTCCTCTTCTGAAAAGCATTCCATCTTTAACAACAAACTTGTCCATAGGCAATATGCCTTGAGTATGCTGCATCATCAACTTACTTAACTCAGCATCTTGCATAGTCATCTCAGGAATCTGCTCTAACCATTTAAATTTGGATTCTGACCAGCCCAGAAAACAACTTCGAGATAAAGCATCAGCTGGTATATTCTCTCTACCAGGCTTATATTGTATAGTGAAGTCATATCCTAAAAACTTAGGTAACCACTGTTGTTGTTCAGGAGTTTGCAACTGTTGTTCTAGCAACTCTTTCAAGCTTTTCTGATCTGTTCTAATGATGAACTTGTTTCCCAGCAAATAATGTCTGAACTTAGCCAAAGCCTCTGTGATGGCATGAAATTCTCTTGTATAAGCAGACTGTTTCTGCATTCTGGGGGAAATTTTCTTGGAAAAGTAAGCAATTGGATGTTGAGATTGGCTAAGGACAACACCAATTCCAGATCCAGATGCATCAGTTTCCAATACGAACTGCTCTTTAAAGTTTGGAATAACTAGTACAGGGGCAGAAGTCATAGCATCCTTCAACTTTTCAAATGCTATAGATGCATTTTCTGTCTACTTGAATGAGTCCTTTTTTAATAAATCTGTTAAAGGAGCAGCTATTGCAGCATAACTTTTGATAAATCGCCTATAGTAACCGGTGAGGCCTAAAAAACCTCTCAACTGTTTTACTGTTGTAGGTCTAGGCCACT